TGCTGAACCCAGGTTCTGAATAGCTCCGTCTCTGCTCCCCTCCCCTCCGCTCCCCCCCTCGCTGACCTACGTCCATTTCCTGCCTGATCAAATCAAGAGATCAAAATCCTTTGCTTGTAAAAATCAATCTGCTGACAAGGAAACGGTGATGATAATGACGTCACACATGATTATAAGCCTCTTGTTTAAACAAGCTGGGTGGAGGATATTCCAGGTACAATGGTACTCATTAAACAAACAGTTGCCAATTACTAATTTGGGTCAGGAAGTACAAACTCCCTCCTACAAGTGCTTTTACTTCTTTTGTTTAAAAAAAGAAAATGGTGTCACAAGATCGTCACTATCACGAGAAACCCATTAGTAGTGGTCTCTATTAGAGTAGACAGCTAAACCAAGCATCACCTGTTATAGTAGTTGTCTTCCTCTTCAGACATGCTATTCTTAAGGAATTCTTTTAAAGTACAAGTATTTTCCAGCCACTTGATGAGTCCCAGTCTGGAACAAAAGAAATCAAGAGATGCAAACAAGTAGCTCAGAGTTGAACTCTAGAGGAACACCACGCATCGGAAGCAACATGTTCATGCTAAAAGAAGGTTGAAAGTTACCAATTTAAATATACTCTGAAAAACAGTTTCCAGACAAAGTGATTTCAACGTTGTTTAAAAGAAAAAAAAATTAAACCAAGACCCAAGGCACTCTGAACCAGAATACAGCACACAGAAATCTCACTTTCCAACAGCAATAGGTATTAACATAATGATTTCTGTCCCTTCAAGCTAAATGCCCACCTTGTTGTCATGGGGATGACCTGGTAAGTTTTTAACTGCATATTCCTTTGGCTACATGAAGCATCTTGGGAAAGGATGATGTTCATTACATCAAACAGCTGCTCAATACGTTGGTCTTGTCTCAGGTCTTCACCACCTTTGACAAGAAAAGGATACTCCTGCTCATCGCTGCCTCGGATTGTTATACGTTTTGGTTTCCTCAAGGATTCCATTACAGTTATCTTGGAAAAAGACGGGAAAAAGCAAAATATTTGTGAAAGAAGACCTGGCCTTACATGATCATCACTGAAATTAAGCATATCTGGCATTCCTAGATGGCATAATCAAGTGGCTCGATTACTACTAGAAAAACAGATGCCTGTTTCCTTTACGTGCTGCAAGCTGTGTACACAAGCAACAACCTCGCCATTATCAAATTCTTCAAATGGAATACGGACTCAAATTTATATCAAACAGGATTTTGACTCAAGCTTATAAACATACCCGTTCATCAAATCCAGAGATTTTTGCGTGGTACTCTGGCAGTGGTTTCCCTTTTCCATCATACTGCCCTGAAGTGGTAGTGGAAACAAAATAAAAGAACAAAGTTACACAGACTGATTGTATTTTTTTAAAAGTGTGTTTAAGAACAGAACACGCTTCCTAATATTTTGTCAAATTGATAGAATGATGCCTATGAAGAAAATATTTTAAAATGCATAAAAATCCATCATACACATCATATAATTTTATCTGTGAATTACTAATAAATATTCTTTCCTTCTTAAGCTGTTAGAATTGCAGCTGTTAGTGGTTCAGGAGGCCACAACCTTTTTGAACTAGATTTAAACATATATTAGATTTATATACCAGATTTCCTGGATTCAGGCCTTTTAAATTTTTGATACTATTTTAAAAATTAGGACTACAGCTTAAGAACAGATTTAAGAGATGATGAATGAACAGATTTATTTCAGATGAAAATCTACCCCTGCCAGAAAGAAGGGCCATAGAGCCAACAAAAGAAGTAGAGCTCAAGAGTAGCAACTTTCTTCTACAGGACAGGCCACCATTGACACTGAAGGGGAACGTACCAGGAATCTCTAGTTCGCTCCTCAAGAACTCAGCTTTGAATTCACTCATCCACGGTGAACATTCTTTCAGGTTTCCAGGTTCCTTATGGTTTTTGTTCATTTTTGAGACGAGTGAAGTTGCAATCGCTTCGAAGTCACTAGCCTTCATATCCAACAGTTCTAAACCACCTTTTCCAAAATGATGTTCCAAGTCCTTCCCAAAAGCCTGAGGTTTATTTATAGAAAGGAACCCTGTTAACACAGTGCTAGGAAGTCCCCAAGAACACCAAAACGGTACCTTCCTATCTACACACACAGCTTCATCTGAGCTCCCAAAACATATTAATCATCCTTCCACTCCAGTTCTTTTTTTCCTCTCCATTATTTCTACTCTGACAGAACTTTTTCACTCCCTGTTTGGTAGACCTACAGCTATCATCAACAGAAATATCTACATTTCACCAATCCAGTGATATCAAAGATCTGTAGAATTAGATCATAAACCTTTTTGCCATATCAAAATCAGAAGCTTCTCCCTCCTTAACTCCTCCAGCTGCAGTTTGATTCTGAGTGAGCACATCAATAACGCTGCTTGTTAAAACTTAATACACGTACTTCATCTGCTTACAAAAATTTAAGAAGAGCTAGTAAAATATTAATATAAAATACAAATATTTAAATTTGTACCTATTACACAAATACAAATTCCATTATGAAGCTAAATAAAGGATTATTATCAGAACATTTAATTGATGTCCCAGTCTTTAGATGTTACAAACTTTCAAACTGCTGCAACAAAACCCAAAAAACTCAACTGTTCAATTTACAAATGGTAAAAAAACCCCAAACGGATAAGTTAGTTAACCTTTTTTTCCCCCCCCTAGAACTTGAATACTCTGTGCTTTATGGGAGGTCTGGGTTTTTTGTTTGTTTTGTTTTGTTACTGTCTTACTTTTTTTTTTTTTAAACTAGCAGCAACCATACTACATAGCAAGCAAATACAGCCTATCTAGTTTTATATATACCTTTTTTGCTAACCAAAAGATACACTACGTGTATATGTACTGCATGTCATATTAGCTTCATGTATTAAGAGAATTTTTTGCATCATGTTAGCAAATGTCAATTTCAATGTTTTATTTACTACCACATTTATTATTCATGACTTGCTTTGAGATAATTTGGATGTAAAATGTATAAAACCATATTTTGAAAGTATTTTAAATATCCTGATAAAGGAGAACTGCGAAGACATTTCATGGTGACCCATTTAATAAACAAAGTAAGTATTATCTGCAAGCAGTTAACTGAGTTGACTTCTTGTCTTCGTAATTCAAGGTTCTAGAAAAAAAACAGATGTCCCCTCTTGGACCTCACTGGTATTAATGGCTTGGAAAGATATGTAAGCTCACTTGTTTTTTCAATGCCTGATCATTTTTCTCCCGAGCTAAGAAGGACACAGCTATTTCTCTGAAGTAAATGAAAATACAGAAAATATAATCCTTCTGAAGAAGAGACTGCTACAGTCAACATCTTTATCACTTTAAATCTATTTCCAGATGATCATCCCATTGGTTTCTCTGCTCTGGTCTTTTGACTTCCTTTAAAATTCAAGGCAGCAAATATTTAATAGCGTTAATACTGTATTTTAATTAACACAATCCATCAACAGTGTTTAATCTATGCATTACTGGGATTTCATGTTAAAAGTAAATGCAAGATTTTTATTGTTTAAATTACAATTGAAACCGTATATACATAATAAATATGAAGATTACAAGCCTGAAGCACTCCACATATTAGAGCAATTTTATGTGTCAGTCAAGACATACAACTTTTTTTTTTTTCCCCAGCAAGGACACTAGAAACTATAGTTACCCTTACAGCACACTTTCTTTCTCCATTAATACCGCAGCACGAGGGCAAAGAATTCAGTCTGTGTACTACCACCCTTACCCTCTTCTGCATCTGGTAGCATGTGAAAGGAATAGTGCTCTCCCTCTTCCCTTCAGAGGGGAACACCCCCGCTACCCCTTTTCCAGCATCTCCCTCGCTCATCTCTCTCTTCTGTTAATTTGGTAACAATTAAAAAAAATAAAAAATAAAAATCTCTATCAGCACTACTTGCAGCATCCTCCACTGCTGCACGTGTTTCAGCTTTTTAAAGAGCCATGGATTTTTTTTGTTTAAGTGGGCCAAAGTGCACACCAGCCGTCCCAGCTACCGAACGCTGACTGCCTTTGTCCTCGTGCTCGCTACGTCCCTTGCTGCGCTTGTACCTTGTAGGGCTCAACCTACAGCTGCTCCTCTCCCTCTACCCCCACCCCGGCAAATTCTTATCCCTGTAATCTGTTCTTAAGTTTAAAGTCATTATCATCAGAAACCAGCTTATCTTGCTGCAACATATTCAAAGGGCTTGTATTCCCCTAAACTCCCAACTGTCCTTTCCTCTGCTGTATCATCCCACCTCCTCCCAAACTCACACCTTACTTTCATCCTCCACCTTCCCTGCTCCTGGGGAAGGACCCTCCCAAGGGACACCTTAAGTTTATCTAATGCTAATGTGACATAAGAACAGCCATATGGGAGAGACCTGGATCCACCTAGCCCTGGCCATGGGGCGATGCGCATAGAGCGCAAGCATACAGCCATGCTTCTACAGGCATATCGCTCTCCTGGCCTCCAGCAATTTGCAGCTCAGGGATTTTTGGACCCAGAAGCAGGCACTTGTAAGTAAAAGCTCTCCAAGCATTTTCCCCCTCCCCGTGCTATTGTCTACTTGCTGTTTGAACCGATGAAAGCATCCATAATACCCTGCAGCAGGCATTCAGCACTTAAGTGTGTACTGAATGAGGAAACACTTCTCCCTGTTTGTTTTGAACCTGCCATTTCCACAGAATATTTACTCCATGCTTGGCACTCCTTATGCTGAGAGCCTTATTGTATCTGTCATCTTTGCGTCTTTGCGTCTTTTCCAACTGGAGGAATGCTAAAGTTGTTCCTTGCACAGAGGTTCCTCTGTACCTCCAATTATTCTTGCCGCTCTGAACCTTCTCTGGTTTCATGATATCTATGTTGAGAACTGCAGATGAGGACCACAGTGTTCAAGAAGCAAGAGTCAGAGCAGGCTGCTATGTCAATGTATAAATCCACATTTTGTTCTCTATTCTTAATAATGACTGACAGTCACTTTTCTTTCTTGACTGCTCTTGAGTATTCACAGCTGATGTTTTCCCAGAATTATCACAAATCAAGATTTTCTTCTTGAATTGCAGTAGTCAGCTCAAACCCAAAGAATTTATATATGAAACTAGGGTTTGGTTGGGTTTTTTTTTGCCACATGCATCACTTTGTTTTTCTATGTTGACTTTCACTATTTTAGGTCTCAGTCAGTAAAGCCCTTTCTGTAATTCTTTATAATTGTAACTCTTCTGAATAACTTGCCCTAAATAACTTCATATCAGCAGCAAATTTGAGTAGCATAATGTAGCAAAACACCCTAAAGTGCTCATACATCCTTGGCAGCAGGGAAAAAAAAACCAAGGCCAGATTCCTGTGCAAGTTCATGGATGGTCAGAGAGGCTCAGGCCCTGAGAACCTGGCAGCGTGCGGGAAAGAGGAGGCAGAAGCTGAGCAACAGGGAACGTTCAGTTCTGTGGGGCAGTCAGAAGTGGAAGTTGAACTACAACAAGTCCATAGCTTCTAGCAAAGAAATCCCAGTCCTGCACTCCTGACTTGATCTCTCATCTCATCAAGTCCTGCAGCACCCGTAAAAGCTGTGATCTGTTCCCCTCTTTTGACTCTCTAGTGCCTTCTAGAAAAGCACACAATGCCAACACTGCTCAGTAATCACACATACCTGAATAAACCTCTTCCTCAGCAATCCAAGGCCAGGAGCCTCTAAGTTTCCCAAATTCTTGTACATTCCTTCGTACATTCCCTTAAGCTTATTTTTATTCCTCTGAGCTTTTACCAGCTCATTTTTGACATCCTCAACCCAATCCTGCAAAGAGAAGGAAACAGATGAGTGCTGAGAAAAAAAAATTACTGACCTTCGCCCTTTGGTGATCTGCTCAGATTACATTTAGGTTACCATATTTACTAATAGTCAATTAATGTGTCTTTTGACAACCACAAGAGAAATCAAAAGGCTATAGAAATATATGCCTTTCATGCTGTCTCTTGATAGAATGTTTCTACTTTATTAACATAATTATGTTTACTACCACAATGTCTGGTGTAAACTAAGAAAGCCCCTATGGGGCCAAGAGCGGTACCAAAGACAAGACGAGAATCGTTTGGACAACAGGGTCAGAACATAGACAGAGAAGCCCAGCAGAGAGCTGGGAAAGGGCATAAGAACACAAGTAGTCAGAAATTATAGAGATTGCCGCAAATGAGAATTCTGTAACAGTTTCAGAATGATGAAGGAAGACTGATCATGGGGCAGGACAGAGACCCTGAAGGAGAAAACTGTAAGGGGCCAGTGCAACACAGCCAGCTGGCACAAAGGAGGGAGACCATCGCCAGCAAAAGATGCTGACAGCACCTCAACATCATCACCAGTTGACTCTGGGTTGAACTGTATCCTGCAGCTGTGGCATCAACCGAAGTGTGGCAAGCCCCACCCAGCACTCTCTTTCCTAAACAGAGGGTGAGGAACTAAGGGAAAGGAGGGGGGAAGGGAATAATAATAAAAAAACCCAACCAACAAACACACTTTACCTTAAAAAGCATTATGGGATTTGAGAGCTGTTCCAGAGAGTGGACAAAATCCTGAACTACTCCTCCTCTGTCCAACTTATTCTTGATCCTTTAAAAGAAAAAAAAGTGCATTACGACACAACAGGAACTATCATCACCACCTAGCCTGCAGATAAGCCATGGTCCAGACCGTTTGCTATATTCAAGAGCCTGGCAAAATAATCTGGGGGTAGGTAGGACTCCCCCCTCAGAACTCTCTTGTGGCCTGCATGACTGTCCTTGCCAGACGGCTCCTGATTTTTTAATTAAGTGTCCCACTATGAAAATAGCTTGGCAGGGGAGCCAAAAGCATACCTGCAACAGAAATGGGCATTAACCAGACTATACATCCTGTGACAACAGTTATTCAAGGGAAACAGTTTGTGAAGCACAAGATATTTTCTTCTTATTTTAAGAGAAGAAATTCAGCAAATGTAGCAGATATTTCAAAAAAGGCAAAAGGGCACCTAAAATTGAATTAGTGCTTCTACAGTGCTGTGTGATAAAAGTTGACTTTTGCCTGGAAGGTGCATACTGCACTCTGAATAAGTAGAGAAGAAGACAAAGAGCTGTCATTCCCCAAGAGATAATGTGCATCTATTTCACTGGCCCTCTCTGAAGTCTAAATAGAATAGATGCTTCTACCAAACACCTCTGCTCTTGCTTGGTATTACAATGGCTCTAAATGTCCAAGCTAGCTTTATCTTCATCTTTGATGGGTACCGACTCTCAGTGCTGTGATCTACTACGGTAAGAGCCTAATCATACACCGGATTTCCCTTCAGCCTCAGCATCATAGGAAAAGGAAAAAGAAACTTTGACTACCACAGAATTACCAGTAGGAAGGTCTTGCCTCTCTGTGGTGGTCTTGTTTTTCTTTGAAAAAATTCTAACTTCCCAAAGCCTGGGAACTACATGTACTCAATACCAACCTGAGTATGTCTAATACTAAGAGAGCTTACGTATTGTTTTTCCCGATGCCTTTAAATGAGAACACAGTGTGCATGGAACTACCCCCAATATTTTTCATGCCCCCTAAAGAAAACAGTTTCATTAGAAAAAATAAACAAACCTCTCCACTCCTGAATAAAAAACATACAAAAGAGCTACTCTGATCCCAAATTCACCTTTCTACAAACTCCTTGTTCTTACAACCAGTTGCGGTATCTTTGAAATAGTAACTTTCACTGCTGATCATGAAAGGGTAGATGATTGCCTGGGGATAGGCATCTGCGATCTCTTCCACAGTATGTTGCACGGCTACTGCTTCATCCTTGTCAAGTAGTGCCATCATCTGGCTAATCCAACCAATGAACTGCCAACAGGGAACTGAAGAAAGCTGCAAAAACACAGATACTGCTTTCAACTTCGGTCCTCCTCAAAAATATCAAACATAGCAAAAGCTAACAAAGCTGCTCCGTGGCCCAGCCTGACAGACAAAAACACATGAAAAGGAAACAGAGAATGTCAACTAGGCTGCAAAAAACATTTCCCAACAAAGCAGATTTTATTATTATTACTACTGCTACCACCACTAACTACTGCTGCTTAATAGGTTTTCCTTTACAAAGATTTGCAGTTTTTATACTCAAACTTGTGGCTTTTCTGTCTGGATGCAGTATAATAATTTTTGATCACCACACACAAACAACTCAGAAATTTGAAGGGATAGTTCAAACACCTTTGGGTTGAAGTCTTTATTTGCGTAAAAAAGCCAGGAAGGAGAACACTTGCACTCTTACTAGATTTTATTCTTCCTTCAACTTTAGAGAGGTTTGGGCTTGCTGACAGATATTAATTTCAGTAGAGCATCCCCCGTGAATACACTTCATGCTCACCTCACTCCAAAAGCTCTATTACTTTTGAAAGGAGTGCTACAATATATTTTCTTGTGACAGCAACAGATCAGACTCTGACTCCTTTCCTCCTGTCTCATCTCTTCCTACCTTTCTAAGAGAGTTTAAGATCAGTTTGCCAGTATTTATTTCACAGAAAGAGAGAGGACAAAGAAATGCCTGGTGAAATTCTTTTCTGGGTGAGGTTTGTTAACTGGACCTGATGTCAGGTTCTGTTTGAACCACCAGAGTTTCACTGTGGCCACAACTTGTGCGCCTCAGCTGTTTTTACTATGTTCTCGGTTTCTTGGGATAACAAAGCTGTGTTTCGGTCTCTCTCGAGTTCTTCCTCTGACAGGGAAGCGAGCTCCAGCACAACGTGCTTCCAGGGAAGCGAGCTCTGCGAGCACCAGCACAATGTGCTTGAAAACACAGGCAGGCCAAGGCAGGAACAGGCATGAATCACAGAGGACCTCTCAGCTTATCGATAGTCCCAGGACAGCAGGGAAGGCAGCGTGACTCATGGCATCCTGCTGTGGATCAGCAGTGGAGGGAGGGACAGGTTGTGGAAGGGAGTAAGAAGCTGTAGTAACCTCTGAAGCAAAGAAGGACAGGGAGCGGTGGGAGAAGTGGAAAATGAGTCCGGAAAAGCTGTTGTCTTCCTGCATACAGTAAAGCCTACAGAAATAAGACACGTTCCTCACCCTAATCCTGTGCACCTTTATCAGAGCACTTAAATTGTTCAGAAGGAAGAAAAACAGCAACACAATTTTTCTCCAGCAGCTTTCAAACTAACATTTGGAATCAGGAAAATGATGAAAAGTTAAACTCTTAAGAAAAAAGTTTCTGTCCATATGAATTAGACTCAGCAAGTTAGAGAAAAGACAAGGAACAAGGACAGGATAAAATTTATCTGATTTACCTGAAGCAAAACTTACCAGTCTAACCTCTCTGTCCATCCAACCTCCACCCCCACCTTTTAAATTCGATTTATAGCAACATTTGCTGCCAGGAAAATGGAAGCAACTAACCTCTCGTGTCACTAGACCCAATGTCTCTGCTGGATATCTTTCAATTATTTGCAGCAGTCTAGGAAATCTCAGCCTGGCTTCTCTGGAGTTCAGTTTTAAAGCTTTTATCATTTTCTCCACCACAATAGCTGGGAATAGCTGCAGATCTGCAGTGTTAATTTCTGCCAAGAGACAATAAACAAAAATTATCAGAAACACCATCACTTGTTCCGTGTCTTTGATCGTCTGGAACATTCATCTTTACAATTCAATGGTGTTTTTTTTTCCCTGGTATATTTTGTATTTTTACTTTGTTCTCCTTCCCATCTGTTTGAACTGCACACATCAGCAACACATGTACTTGGGGACTGTAAGGATTAGCTTTATCGGGAAGCTGCATCACTGCCGGTATCTCGCCTGCTTTAAACACTGCACTGCTGTGGTCTGGGAAGGAACAAGGGAAGCATCTGCTGAATGTGATATATATCTCACAAGTGAGAGGGAGACTATGAGTGATTCACTGCAACCAAAGCTAGCAGTAATAGTGTGGGGGGGGAAGGAATATAAATACTGTTGAACTGGAGGACCAACTGTTTCATTTAAATTCAAGCTGTGTTGCTCAGGGAGACCTCCTGGGTATCACAAGAGCTCACATATCATGGATAAATTCACCTCACATGCTTAGGAGAAATCCTAACTAACCAAGCAAGCCTTCCTCTTCCCTACGCAGATGCTGGTCGCAGAAACCAACTAGAGTCATATATGCGTCGATAACTCCCATCACATCTACATGTTCCATGGAGTGGGACTGCACCTCCTCTTCGGACTTCCTTGCGGCACTGCTGAAACATTGAAAAGCCTGCTTGTTCAGACCCGCCAATATCTGAAATTCAACCACAAGAGAAAAAAAGACCCGTTAGCAAGTAGCATTCAACAATTCTTTCTGAAACTGGAACTTGGTTGCAGGTCTGGAGTAGATAAAACTAACTGTATTAGATGTTTTGAGGAGCTGACAAAAAGGAAAAAAATTGGGATGTTATTTCTAGCAGTAATTTCCAGAACTTTAAATTTCCATAATTTTAATTTCCACAATTTTCAATGGAAAAATATAAACCACACTTTTAACTTAAAGTAGTCTCTGTAAATGTTACGTGAAATTTTTTTAACTGCAAAAAAGTTAATGTTACTACAGCTTCCACAAACAGTTAACAAAACACAATTAAAAATGCTATTTTTTTCGTATTAAGACATATCTGCAACATCTGCATAACAGCTATACTTAGAACTTATTGCCAACAAGTTTACTAACCTCAGACACTGTAGCTATTGTAGTTATTAAACAAAATACAAAATTGCTGCAGAAACAAGTTGGAACAACTGAAAAATGCTGTAACTGAAATTAAACAGTTTGAATTTCAGGTAGGTAGAGGGAAACTACCAGGGTCAGAGTACTGCTTAATACTAAGCTAAAATAAGGCTAAGCTCCTTAATTTTATAGAAATATCTGGTATACCAATCTGACTGATGTGGCACAGAAGAGCTTTTATGCTCATCTTTTAGATTTCCTTAAGAAGAATGCTCTTAATAATTAGCTAATAAATGAAGCTTAAGCTTTTGCTCAAGTTTCTACACACCTGAAATTTTTTTGCTGGAATCTCTTCTTTATCTGCTTTTCTTTAACAACCATAAAAACACAAATTAAGAACAATTTTTCGCTGTTTAATACTGATATGGTTCATATCTAAGAGTCTTCATAGTGGCTTTACAAATTAATAGAAATAAGTACTTCAAATTCTTAATCAATTTGACAGACAAGAAGTCAGTGCCACAGCATCTGGGACAACTGATAACATATACGGTTTCAGATGCAGCACAGTGTCACAGTATTCTTCCAATGTACACCTCCCCCAAAAAACCAAAGATGACCTGCGTATGTTCTGTCTTACAAACCCCTCTCCTCTCTATCACTAAAATTATTTAGATAAAATAAACTATCAGTATCATTTTCAGTATTACAAAGATCTCTTTATGAAATAGGATAGTCTGACAGCATGAAGCAGCTCAGAAATGGTCAGCTGAAATAAAGGCATTCTTTGAGGATCACGTTCCCAAGCCCTGTCCTGCCACCGTGCATGCAGGTGCTATGACTACGTCTTTCCCCTCCACGCAAAACGCAGGAGTATAGAAACACAAGAACACTCTCCCAATTAAAAAGGCTACAGTGGTGCAGAACTCCAGGAAAGTAAAAACCAGACAAATAGCAACCACATCGGGTTTTGTTTGGGTTTTTTTCTTCCCCTAGCTGGTGTTCCTGGACAAATCACTGCTAATAGCAGACGGGTTTCACATTCTCTGTATCTGTCCATATCCATCACTACCTACTGAAGTAGTGATTACGATACTGAAATACCTAAAAGCTTTTCCCCTCTTATTTACCTTTTCAGGACTCTCAAGACTTTCTCCTGATAGTACTGATATTTTTCCAGCTTTTTCTTCCTCGATTTTCTCAAGACATCTTGGATCCTGACTAAGAGCATTGGCCATGATGTGGTACGTAGTACCCAGAAGAAGCTTCTGGTTTCGGAAGGCCACTATGTTCTTGCTAAGATAGTCTGATTTGGTATCTTCTGTTGGAATTCAAAAACAAAGTTGGTAATTTGACAACAAAGCTGCTTTGTATAATAAACAAAGTGAAGCAAAGAGAAAGCTGTTACCAAGCAGGGAGATGTTTTTTAGCACTGAGAGCACTCGTTCAGGACAACTCTGGTTCCGGCTGCAACTATGTGTAAAGCGACAATAGGCATAACTCCACCTCACCAGCCAGTCTTCCCTTGTTTTGGCTTCTTTGCGTAGGTCTTTCAGAAGCTTCTTGGCAACTGAGAAGCTGTTCTATATTCAAATTAAGACAAAACTTTCAGATAATATATCCAAAGAGGAAACAAAACCTTTCTGCAAGCAAATTAACGGATGTGAATATTTAAGTAATACAAGTAAAGCTACAATAAGACGAAGAGAGGTCCACTCCTTGTTGGGTCTCACATTCAAAACCAGATTTGTGTTAAGGGAGAAATTTGAAAAGAAAGAAAGAAGAACGGAGATTTGACAAACTAAGGAAATAAAAATAATTCTATCTGCATGACTGAACAGGCATTAATTGTTCTGCAGTGCAAACACATATAGTCAATGTAACTTCTTTACAACATCTTTAAGCAAATAACTTATGTTTGTGTTCTGCTGAGAAGTTTCATGTAAGTAACATTAAAGAAAATCTTATTTTTTATTTACCTCTTTAAGAAGAGTGTATAGTCCACACAGCACTAATGTTATATTTGGTTATTACAGTGCTTAAAATAAAATTTGTCACTGACTGCAGATTTCTGCAGCATCTCAGAAGATGAGGGAGACCTCGACTTAAATATTATTCATTTTGTCTCAAGCTTTAAACACTAAAGGCCCATTATCAAGGATGGCTACATTTCAGTCATTGTAACAGTCACATCCAAAACAAAATTTCTAAGTCACTCAGCATTAGTTCTTTATAGAAATGTTAAGCTAGCAGCATTAATGAAAACCATAAAAAAAAATACGTTTCAGCATTACTGATGGAAGTAAATTATATTGATTCAACCTGAATTTGATTTGTTTTCTTGTACAGAAGAGATTATTTGCAAATGAGAAAGCATAATGTTTGGTTGCAAGCATCCCTTCCATTAAAGGCTGAAGCATTTCAAGATACTTTATTTATCTGCCCTTTAGAGTGTGAGAAACCACCTGTGATCAAAGGGGCCTTTAAGGACGTTTCCAGTAATAACAAATTATCATCAAGTTTCTAATTAAGATTTATCCATTTGTTTTCTTTCTCTGTGGAACTGACTTTCTTGAGCTTTCAAAATGCCCTGGACAGCAAGGTCCAAGACAGACAAGGTCTGCCCTGGCAAAAAGGTGCCCAAGATGACCTATGAGGCTTTTCCAGCTGTAGCGTATATACATTTTCTTACAAAACTGAAGGTCTCAGACAGTACAGTCACCTGCTTCCTGGCACTTTCTATCATCTTCATTTTCATGTTAAATTTGCAGCTTTTAATCATTGAGTAAATGTCTTCATCCTGTTGATCCACTTCCATTTTTTCACCATCATCATATTCTTCATCCACCTCCATACTATCATTGGGCTGATCACAGAGAAGTTTCTCCTGCAGTTTGTCAAGAAAGAAACACCTGCACAATGACAAAAGAAGTACAAATCACTCTGGTATGCATGCAAGGGAATGAACATTCAGAGGTGTTGATCTGTCCAACAGTAAACAAAGCTAATAAAAACCAGCAAGCTATAGCAATCACCTTTAGCAAGGGCTAAACATAGCTCTCAGAGTCTGGAAAGTCACAACCGGGGACATGTTGACCCTGAGAGCATTCTAGGATCTTGAATCAATGAGATCAAGTATTAGAAAATGTCTGTAATAAGAGTAGGATTTTTTCTTATTTTTTTCTTTTAAAATCCTAACTACAACCTCGAAGTTTACCAGGCCATAATTTGTTGTCTGACTTGACAGAAGAGCAAACAAACAGTTAATACAGTGTGTATGGCTGTATTTTATGTCAACCTACAATTCAAATACATATGACACCAACACATGTAAACATTGAAATTTGCATTGCAGAAAAGCCCAGTGACCATACTCAACTTTTGAAAGGGAATGGCCATGAATCAGTGCTAAATCCTTTTCATTCTACAACTAGTCCTATCTAATTTAATAGCATCTCTCATTATGTAGACCATTATTCAATGCAGGGGAAAGCACTGCGGTCTGGAATAGGGGTAGGTGCTGAATAAAGGCACATCCTTTGCCAATAACTTAAGATGAGACAAAGGTTTTCTAAAAGCAGATAAAAGCGTTCAAGATACTGACAACTTTGCAATTGATAAACGTTTTGAGACTTTGTAAAGGAGTAAGCCATAGCATGTAATTCTGCCTAATATTTAATTGCAATAAGTTCTTCTGTAGCCATGCTTTCCTGACACTAAAATAAATTACAGAGCACAGCGGGTATCAGCAGAGCTGTTGAAGCCGTTGTCCCCCAGAAAAGGAGAACGAATCCAGATATGGACTGCAAGAATAGATTGGGATGAAGAGAGATACCACAGGGAAGACAGAAAACTTTCAAATTCAAAAAAGCATTCCAGCTTCTTCAGAGCTAATCCAAAGCAGTCTCCAGAGAGCCTTTGTTCTTTCTAGCAACAGTCACACAGCAGAAGTCTCTAATTACAGCACTGGTCATTAACTTTCTTATAAACATGTGAAGCACTGATAGCGACAGGGCTGGGCTTATTTAGTACACTCCCTAACTTGGAACTGCCTACGAAGTAGATAAGTATTTTTAGCCATAACAGACTGGCCTTTTGGGTGGTGTTTCGTTGAGCTAAATGTAGCTGATCTACTCAATTACAAGTGGACGTGTTTAAGGGCTGCTGAAGTGGGCTAGCTGGTACAGTGCGTGTAGTCACTCATGCAAGAAAATGCCTAAACTAACAGTTATGTTTCCATATGAAAATGTGGTTTATTCCCTGTCCGTTTCTCAACCTCCTTTTGCTTCTCACTACAATTTAGTCACACAAAAAGCAGTTATACTGATAAAGCTATTACAATGGTTAAAAAAAAAAAAAAAAAAGGTCATATACTGAATCAACAACCTCCCCATATGAAAACAAGCAGCATTAGAAAAAGTACCTCTCAGAAATCAACAGGCAGACAGAACTAAAGCTAACCCAGGAATGTAATTTTACCGATTTGTAATGATATCATCCCAGATGTTCATAGGATCCATTTTAGCATCTGGATATCTGCTTGTCCAAATTCTGAGAAGTCTCTTAAGGGAAGCCTGTGAAGCTAAGTTACCTAGAAATCAATTAAGAGTCCTTTTAATGCATCTAAATCCAAACAGTGTGAAAAAAGCCTAAACCAAACATAGTCTAACATTCAAACGACAAAACTGCAGTAAAACAACCCACTTGCATTTCTGGGCTTGCATTAAATACACTACTTGGTGATCATATTGCTTTTGTTTATCGCTGAAGTACAGGAGATTCAATAAGGACATCAAGTGTCAACTATCACTGGGAATCACCACTGGGTAGTTACCTTTCCATACTGGAATATGCTAGAATATAGCGGAACTGTTAACTAAATTTAACATATAATTTGGTTTATGTGCATAAATTTGTATTTCACGCCTACCTCAGTAGCTAGAAATTATATACTGTATCCATCTTTGATGTCTGCTAACCACTATTTGCTACCAAAAGCGAACCCAAGAAAAATCTTTGTTTAAAACTATTACTTACACTTTTAAAGAAATACTTGACACCTATCACAATTGCTAGGCCAATAAAACTTTACAATATAACACAGAATTATTTTCAAGCCTATCTTACACGACTGCAATAGTCTTTACTGTCAAGAAGACAGCAAGAAGTAATTCTAGACATATGCTCCTTCAAATCGGAGTTCAGTCTTCTAAGTGTGAAAACAGAAATTCAAAGTTCAGGAAACCATGACTATTTAACACAATGAAAGAAAAATAACTTCAGAAAAAAATCTTTACTTCTCTTGGTCATAAAATTGATGAAATCCTGTATTTCTGTCAAAGCTTGTACAGACTGCAGTTTGGTCATTCGACTTTGATATAACAAAGTATCAATACTGGAATAGCTCTGAAAAGAAGAGAAGATTTCACATTCAGGATTTACAACATGGTTCTATTCAGTGCTCTACAAACTATTTGTCTGATACTGCTATATATTATGCTCTAAAATCCAACCTTTTACAAGTAATGTATTAACCTGTAATCTGAAAGTGACTCTGCTTTGGACAAGCATAGAGGCATATCTTGGCTTCTAGGATTCTAACCTATCCTAGGTTTTAGGATAGTCCTACAGTTTAATCAAAACTGGGTCGAACTTGTAACCTCTCAATGTAATATTCTCTTTTCAAGTTTGTTCTGGGGACAGGAAGCTTCTGAAAAGATGAATGAAATAAAACTGCTATTAATCTGCACAAACAATTACTCTGAAAAATTTCTAATAGATGAAATCAGCAAAACAAAACAAACAAAATTGGGAGGATGCACTCCACTGGCTGGCACAACTCTCAGCATTGCAAGCAGTGAATTCAAAGGAAGCTTCATCATATGATTGGAAAGCACCTAGATTTCTAGATTTCATTGTATTTGGGCAAGTGTTTCTCTCAAGAATATAATCTAGCAACAGTAACAGGAACAACAGTTTCATCGTTCTATGAGTTTATGTAGAAAAACCGTATCAGGGACAGCAGAGATTGTTACCTGCATGAAGATCTGCATGCCATTGCTAATGTAATATTTGGCTCTGTCAAAATCATCTTGCAGGATGTAAAGGAGACTAAGCTCTTGGCTGTAATGCATTTCTATAATGGCTTTCTTCTGTTCTGTCTTCATTGCCTCATCAATAAAAGTCAGCAAAGTCTGATCATTTTCCCCACTGAGCAGTAACTTCAACTTGCTGCGTATTATATAGGGCAGATATGTCTCCTACAAGGTTAAAATATAGTCTTTATTTCTAAGAACAGAATATTAGATGATCATTTTTTGTTATCAGTAGCAGATCAAATATATTTTAAAAATATATATTTTGAAGGATTTTCTTAAATGTTTTCACTTTAGACAAATTCCAGTTTGCTAATAAATCACAGCAGCCTTTTCTCATAGACTTAAAAAGTTGTCAGCAGATTCCACCAATTTCAAAACTAGCGGTTTGGTAACTCTTAAAACATGTAGCAAATAAAAGCAATAAAAAGCAACAAAAACACTGCAAGGAGAAGATGATGATAAAGCTAGTGCTGTATGATCAGTCATAGACTCAAGGTAAGAATTAAACTACCTATAAAACCAACAGAAGTAACTGCTTCAATTATATTATATACCAGACCCTCTGCTAATTTCCATACAAAAGTAACCAAAATAATGCCGTTTCTTTCCACCCACAATCACATTACTGTAGGACATCCCCGCAGAGATAAAAAACAGCACAGTATCAACGAAGTGATTTCTAAAAACCTGAAAAAATGGATCATTCCACGTTTTGCTTAGGTCAGGAGGTTTTCCACTATCGATATTAATGGTAGCACAATACTCCAGTGGCTTCCACTCTGTGAGGTGGTCATAGCATTCCAAAGATGCAAGTTCCCAGAAGTCCTTCTCCGCTTCTGTTGGCTCCCCATCTTGCCAGTCTTCTTTAGACAGTGCCTAGGGAATGAATTTAAGGGGAAGGAAGGTTCTCAGATGGAATCTGACACTAGTTTCAATTCTAAGTCACCAAGAACTTAAGAATAATTCATTGTCTCATAAAAATATCTGGTCATTTACCAAAATGTGACAGCCACATTAAACACAGAATTTATATATATATATATTTATATATAAATCAGTTTCAGATAGCCATCTTCAGTAAACCTGTATTTTTAAACAGCTAAGACTTTAAAAGAAGGTTAAAGAGATCCCTCTTAATTTTTACCCACTATAATTCAAATTTTCTTTGCCATGAACACATGCAGTTTGCTCTCTTGGGGTGGTACTGTGCCCATGGTGTTTCTTCCTTGTCCGCGTAGGCGATTGCATGTGTGAGGCTTTGTAGGAGACCATAAAAAGAATCACGCTTACTGCTCTGTTGTGACTGCTCATCTGTTCCCCTCTCTTTACAGACATCAACCAAACAAGACACAAGGACATTTTAAACAATATGCTGTTTCTCAAAATGTTTAATTTTGGTTTATTAGTTTTAAGCCACGACATATTTATGAAACAAAAAAATCTTGTTGTCATTTTACCTCATCATAATATTTAGCTGCTTCAGCGTAATCACTCCTTGCTTCTGCCAACAACGCTTTCTGGGTAATTTCCTTAGTCCCAATCTTACCACTGAAAATTCCGCGAAGGACATCATAATCCCCAAGAGATCGGTAGAGCCTAGTAAAATTGAAATCTTTTAATTAGTTGAACACAGGTATATCAATGCAAACATAAGCTATTTAACAAAACGATACTTCAATACGCAGTAATACTCTGGCTTGTAATAGTAAAAAAAAGTATTTCTTATGTAAGATCATAAATATATATTTAAATAGATAAACTTCATCTTGTAGGGTAATACCTGAACCATGTAAACTCCTGCAGTTGAAAAGCTATGAACGAGACATTTTTCAGCAGTCTGATAGCATCAGAGTGCACAGCTGTTAAGTATAACTGCTCTAACTGAAAGACAGTAATTAACTAACAAGAAGTTAAAAGCATACCTAATTCTAAAAGAGGGAAAGACTAAAAAAGAAATCCCGTAAGCCATAAAGGCGGAGTTCTTCACAAGGCAAACTTAAAGGGGAGTAAATCATCTCAAACAAGAATTTACTTAGCAAGTTCAATCCATCTGATGACATCTGGGGGAAGCTCTGTCCTTCCACGCATTCGCTTGGATGGGGGCTGTTCCTCAGGTGACAGAGCCATCAGGGCACGCTCCAGAAGAAGGATGCCCACTGGCTGCTGTAAGCTCGCAAGGCAGCTCGTGCTCACATTTAATGAATCCAGCTCTAGTAGCTCTCTGTGCTGATAACTCATTTCCTATAAAAGAAAACAACAAGTGTCTACTTGGTCTAAAACTATACTGATAGTTAGCTTTTACAGATCACCTATTTGGTACCCCTCTTCTTACAGAGCAAGCTTTGAAAATAAGCCGTTATCTCCAGATAACATCTCCAGAATTTCCTGACTCTAGGAAAACTGGAATGCTTTTCCTTCTGTGCTGTTGCTCTTTGGCCAGAGAACAGTAGAGAATAACCCCTCTACTTTGCCAGTCTCCAGGGCACGGGGACAACTCTGTCGCAGAAACACATGGGAAGTGGGGGAGAGGTAGATGGACACATTCACAGCCTCAATCTCTCCTTCTGTTTGCTGGCAGCGTGGTGCCGGCTACACCACAGCTCCGTTTCACTTAACCTATTGAGCGGTACATTTCCACCAGAAGCCAAAGGCACGATGAGCTACAATGTCTTCTCTGAGCTGGAGGCTTTCTAGCCACACACTTACCCAGTTTTAGCATACCACAGCTTCCTGTTAGACTCATTTAGTAGTACACTCATCTAGTCCTGCCTGATTTGAAGATATGACAATATTTTAAGTAGACCTTTATCTTATTTATCATCAGTCCAACTACAGAGTAAACTGTTTTTCAAGGATAAACATTCTTGTTTACCTGAAGGTTTTTTTGAATACTTAAACCATTGTCCCAAATACAGGTAAATATATCAAGAAAGAAGCAGACCAGTTTAGTAAAACCAGGCTTTTTCTCCACTGAAGAACCTAAAGGAAAGTTGCAATAATACTTTAACCAAACAGGAAGAAAAAAAAAATAAAAATCTACAATGTGAAAGAGTGGTCATATAACTTTAATTACAAAAAACAGCACTGAGTTTTAGGACAAAAATTTGATTCTTGCAACACAGTATGTTCAAGAACACTAAGTGAAAAATAGCACTATTTGGAAATTGTAACAGGAGGCTGTGAGAACAACCAAGCTACACTTCTTTAATCAACAGCAACCACCACAAAACCTGCAGAATAAGCATGTGGCATAAGCAAACACATCACGCAATTTGTATAGCTGAGATTCTCACACCAATAGATTTGTACTCAAAAAAAAAAAAAAAGAGAAAAAGAACAGCTTTTTGTAGCTTCCTGTGTTACCGACCAGGCGGATCCCAACAAGGGGTTAGCATATGCTTCACCCGCTATTCAGGCAATTTCAACTAGCGGCTTCTATCAAAGCTGCATGCACGCCTCAGACACTCCTATGTACGGGCACACACTCCTTAACTGCCAGCTTTCAGGGGTTGTGTCAGGGATGCAGTGCCAACTGCACAGTCTGAAAACTTAATAGCTCTTTGCTAAGGTAAGATCAAAAGCCCTTTCTCAAGGATGCCTAGGAAAAAGTGCAAGAAATCTGTAAATATAACGGTACAAGCAGAGAACGAACACTATCCCAAACTCACAATTTACAGACATTGTCCCCGTCCCACATCCAAGGAGATTCAGTGCATTTTGGTGACTTTTTGATCACTTATCTTCTGAAAGCGGAGGGCACGTTCCTTGCTCTGCATGCAGTGCGTTCTGTCTTTATTTGCACCACAAGTTCAGAGATTAGGACGAATGGCATCCAAGCTGGCCTGACAGTTATAATACTCGCAGACAATTATACGTTCTTCAGAGGCCAGATATCTCTATGTTGCTGTGGGGTTAACAACTTTCTTAGTATTTCTGCTGGTTTTTAATCTGTCCTGAAAGCTAATTCCAGAGCTTCATAGTCAATTTTAAGATTACCCCTGTAGACAAAACCAGCTCCTTTTATCACCAAGTTACTCTCCTGATGGGACTCGAACCTGTACAAGACTAAAAAGGTTAAACAACGAGAAGGAAATGGCAGTGAAGTAGGAATGCTTTTTGAAATAAGCCAATATTTATTATATTGTTAGTATATAGGAAGTAGAAGCTGTATTTCCAAATGGCCAAGCCATTAGGACAGCCTTTGTGAGCCAAATGACAGCCGTGCTCTTGCTCTCCCTCTCCCAGCTCTGTCTCCTGATCAATACGAACTCTGTTCCCTGTTGGGGAAAAGACTTCCCTTCACTGTTATGCAGGGTGCTCAAATCCACAGGCTGAGGCTTGCCTTTGTGCTGCTGTTCTTTTGTTATTGCACGGGGATGGCAATGAGATGCTCTTATCGCTCTTACAAAGTCTGTATTTTTTTTCTAATTTTAACTTTTCTATTTTTTGAGTCATAATTTTATGTCTATTCAGAAAAGAAGTAGCCTAACACAACAGTGTTATTAATGGGTCTAACAGACAGCATAATTCAACACAAAGAAATAATATCAAGACAGTAAACCAACAAATGCAATGTCAAGAGGGAATATTAACAGATAGCTATTGTAAGATGCTGGCTTGAAAAATACCAAGACAGCCCAAAAAAATCCCCATAGCATTTGACCTTTTATGCAGCTGCACAGAAAAAAGTAAACAAGAAATTACATTTTTTCAGATGCGTAAAGACAAGTACTAAGAAGCAAAGTTTGTCACTGTTTAAAAAGCTAGTCCAAACTAGACATTTCTCCTGTATTACGAATGACATCTACTGTCACAGAGTATTTACATTTCCATAACAGAAAGAAACCACTCAAAAAAAATTATTTTGAGAGCTACAAATCAGACAGAACATTAAGATCAGCAAGTTAACAAGAAACATTAAATACAGTGTCAACGAGTACGTAACAGGTGCTTGGACAGGTTTTTTTATCTCCCTGAAAACTGGGGTAAAAGATGATGAAGTTCACAATCTATTCCAGGTCAGTATATTCTCATAGGAGAAAGGTTCGTGTTTCCTTTCCAGTGAAACAGCTGTGGTGCACCCACTCACCCTTTGGTGGGAGCGAGTCCTTCCCTCATTACTGAAAATCCCCAGACAACTACTGTCAAGGGACTAATTTGAAAAAATAAATAAGAGATGCTAACAACAAACAGTCTGACAGCTACTGATATCCTCAAGACATCAAAGTCTTCCTCAGCAAGCACTTCCCAGAAACAGGAAGATAAGCACATGGCACCCACATAACCCTTTCAATTGTTCTTGTGGCTTTCATATAAAATCAAGTCTCTTCTTGTTACTGCTGCAATTAAGACATTAAAAGGTGACTCAAACTCTACAGATCAGAAATTGCAGGAACCTTGAAAAATCAGTTCAGAGGCACAAATTACCTTGTTCACCTTAACCAGAACCACTTGAAATACCCATTTGGTTAACAATTCTCTCTCCATCTCTGTCTAAATTTCAGTAACAGTATTTAACCTTCACTACCACTGGGTTAATCACACATTCAAAGACATATTCAGTTACTATATTCATTATATTCAGTTACTATATTCATTATATTCAGTTACTTTCAGCTATAGCAGGATTTACCTGGATGCACGCAATGAATGGTGGGAAGTAAGACAGGCTCATACTCAGGAAATTATTGAAGTCATTCAGCAGCTTCTGGATAATGGCTTTTTTCTCAGAAGGAGTTTTAGATTTTTCTACCTCATGAAAAATTCCATCAAACAAACTGCTGAAAAGCTGCTTGGCAAATGTTGGATCTTTCTGTAAATTACAACAAAAGCAATAAGGCCACACTGAATTTTGCTGTGACACAATAAACTAATAAATAAAATTAAGAGATATGACCCACCCTGTACCTGATCTCTGTGTGGACACTCTTTGGGACTGGAATAATTAGTCTGGCATGCATTACACCTACGTCAGGAATTACTGTACTACCCATTCAAATACCGTCCTAATTCTTCTACAGAAAGAAACTCCAAGACAATGTAGATTTCAGGCCAGAGTGTTGGTAGAGAGGATGGAATTTACAATTTTCACATATTCACAATTCCCACTACAGAAACCAGATGCCCAATTATCATCTTATGGACACCACTGCCAGTGAAGAGGGTTTCAGGAAAAAAAAACGAAGACATCAATGTGTGAGAGGACCCAGACCTAACACTGAAGGAGCTAACACAGAGTAACAGACTGTCTGTACAAACAGAGAGTTCCATCTGAGATTTAAAGGCATTTTTTCAACCCAGAACCGCATTTGTATGTGTAACATAACCCTATGCATCCTGGTCTGTCATGGAACTGGAGTTTGGTCTAACTCTTGATCTAATGCTATTCAGATAACTCATGATTGTGCTACTTCCTCCCTGTACAGAGAGATAAGGGATCATCAAAAGAAATTAAATACAAAGGTAATCAGGAACACCATGACTTCCCAAACACCGTATAATAGGATAGGTTCAGCCTACAGTTTCTACCGCTTTCAGGTGGGAAAAGGAGTATTGGATCAGCTTTACTGAGTAGTCTGAGTCCAGTCTTAGACACAGTAACTTCATTTGTATTTTTACAACTCCGCTATAGCCACATAAAAGAACAAAAAATGGATGTTTTGTTGTTGTACAGTGAGATATCCTTTGCAATAATGTCTGTAAAGACCACAAACATCTTTTTCTCAAGCAGAGGAACCCAGAGGCAATGAACAACAGCTGATGTCTCAGGTCCTCAGTGTCCAACTCAACTACTCAGGTGAGGCAAAGGTACAAGGCATTTTGCTCATCACTGCACCAGCTCAGGGGTAGGAGAAACCCTCCCTCAAAACAGACTCTTTAAAAGCATATCACAGAGTTTGACTACAAAACAACAACTCAATTTTGAAAGCAGCTGCCCAACTACACATCGTTTTCCCTACAAGAACAGAAAACTTCACAAACGACCTTTGAAAAGCAGACAGACCTGGGCAAGGCCCTGCAGAGGGGCAATGAGACTGCGGTATTCAATCTGGATGTCAGGAAGGTCTCCTACTCGGTAACTTCTGTACAAAGTAACCTGGGCATCATACTTCATCTTCAGCTCTGATTTCATCTCCTGAAAGGCATTGCTCATGTTAAAAAAAAATTAAATCGTATTACTTAGAAAGAGATATATCTAGGTAAGACAGAATAAGCAGGAGCACTTCTAAAGTGCTTTATAAACTTTTGCCATGGTTATTAAACAAATACATTTCCCATAAAGTTGTAATATAGTTAAACCCAAAATTATCTTAGTCAATTAAAGACTCCAAAGTCTTGTTCACAGACTTACTTCGGCCATTAACTACTACTATTAATGCCTTGTAGTTCCTGCTTCCACAGAGGTAGTATTTAAGTCACTTTTAAAGAGAAGGATTATGACTGACAGCTAGTGAGCTGCTATGGTTTAGTAAGTCACTGCCTGCCAGCTGAGCCACAGCAGTCCGTAACACGACAGTTCTCAGCCTGGTCCAAGTGCAAAGTAAAATGATGTTGCTACAGCTAGCGTGTTTTATTTCACACAGTGGGATGGGGAGAGGAAGGAAGAAGGATGAGCCTGGTAGAATGGATTCCTAGTAAAACTTAAACCTAACTGTAATAAAACTGTTGTAAGCTGCAGTTGTTAAACAGCTGCCCTGCCTTTTGCTGAGGCTTAGAGGAACACATTGAAATTGAACAAGAGCTACTACCACATATAGGCAAAACCTATCGCTTCCTGTGTCTTTCTTCCTTTTCATAGCACTGATATGCTATAAGGAAATCAGCAGTAAGTTTAGAGGCTGGGATTTTATTTTTAACGACTGCCATTAACAGTTAAATGAGCAGACAATTGATAGATATATACACATTGGTAGAATGGAAAAATAAAATAGGAGAGAGCTTAAACATTTTTTTTTTTCTCTTCTGTTAACGCTTCATAATTTTCCTTCTACACAACTTCAAAGGGATAATTGTAAAAAAAATTTCAAGAAATATGCTGGGAGAAATTAGGGCTTTGCTAAAGCTTTTTCCAAATACTTTCTTGCTTTGGACCTACTTTTTCCTGTCCCATCAGGTATGGTATTAATGCAAGTCACCAAGTTCCATGTGTGTTTATGTGCAACAAATCTCTTGACATTTTATCTTTTATTGTGGAGTATCACAGGGTTTTTTGGTGGTTGTAATTTGGACTGTTATACAGAATGCGTTACAGGTTCTGTCTTGCAGGGTGGGAGGAAATGGTAGCTTTAGCCTGCAAGTAAATATAAATCGACTAAAATAGGTGTTTGTGTGGTTCTTCCAGACATAAGTTGTGTTTACACAGTTGTCTGCCACTGCGAAGAATTATAAGAGTGTCTCAAAATGGTAGCTCTCAATCCTGGGTTCCTTTGCTCCGAGTCTAACTGCTATCATTTTTAGACGATAATGTATGCTATTTTTAGTAACAGGAACCTCTAAAAAACTGTTACGAAGCTTAAAAATACTTAAACTAATTGTAAGTACATAACACAATCAGGAAACCCACATAGTACTAAGTTTCTGGCCTTGATAAACACTCAGCAAATGATTACCATTGACATTCCTTCAGGTTAAAAGTACGCAATGGTTTTGGCTAGTCCCTCAGCTCTATCATATTTTTGAGTTCACCTTCAGACACTGGATAATGTTCGCCAACTATTTCTGCAGAGTACTGTAGCTTCAAGGCCCCTAGTTTCCAGGATGACAACTGCAAAGCTTCCCATAGCTGTTAGGGACTCCATCACATAAAATCCCTTCACACACACTAAGTGGTAGACTGGAAGTATTATCACTCTTTTCTCACTCATGCTAAGTAACAGCATTCAGCTTTAAGCACATAAATAGCATGATTTCCAGATAAAACCTTCTAAAGCTCTTAAAGCAGCAACCAGTATCTTACACCTACCCTTTCTTCACAAAGTTACTTCTGGAGATGAAGTACAAGATGCAAATGGCATTGGCACTTAAGGTTTTAGACTTTATTTGGATTGACAAACCTTTTCTCTTTTCTGTTCAGCCACACCTTTTCGAGCATAAATCAAACTGAGTTTCTCTTGGTCCTTCATGAAACGTCTCCGCAGTCTTAGAATTTCTGCTCGTTCTTCTATACCTAGGGAACACATGGTCATGTCCACAGGTTTTCCTTTCTCAACCAAACTTCAGATTTAAGGCAAGAGCATCATATAATTACAAACAATCTTTGTATTTACTAGCTTACTAGCTAGACTTCTAAGTTTCATATCCAACAACTCAATGCAAAGCCTTTCAAGACAGCAAATTAAAAAAATTAAGTTGTTTTTAGGAGAATAGGTAATAAGCATTTATATAAAAACTAAGCAGGTGGATGAGGTATAAGGGTGAAACTATTGTACTGGGAAAGGCGCTAAAATTCATGAACAAATTTGCCCCACGACAGACTTATTTTAAGCTCTCAAAGGAAAGTATGGCATTTGCACCATATTCCATAAAGTATACAGCTCCCTACATAAAAGAGCTGCTACATATATTCCAAGATTAGGTAAAAAATTGCAGTACTATATTATTATAAGTTACTATTACAGAGCTGTCACTGGATCAACTCCTGCTCAGGGCAGTCATGGAGAAAGACCACTTTACAGACTGTTCAGTCCATTTCCTAGGAAAGAAAAGCGAGCAAACTAAACCAGACCACTATAAGTGGCATTATCCTCCTGGAAGACCAGGGACTGACTGGAAGGTACACTGACCTCTCTTTCTGCAGTTCAGCATGGTCCATTCAAAACTGCCCTGAAGCACCTCTCGGGTATTGAAAAGGTCAACCTTTACAGCTCTCTGCCTGAACTCCTACTCTCATCCTTCCCATCAAAATTTTAATGACAAAGTAGGCAAGATGAAATGCGGAGAAGGAGCCTAAGCTATTCCAGAACAGTACTGATATTTTTCAGTTATTAACTGGGTGGATGAAGGAGCATTCTCAGAAAATAGCAGGTAATTCTAAGGCCAGATTGCAGTATGTTGTAGATTGTGTCAGCACAGCTGAAATGGTTTGGGAAAAATATGTTTAAAGAGATCTCTTCTTTAAAGAGATAAGCAGTTAAATTTAAAACAGAAGGGACAGAACTGTCTAACATTCATGCTATGATTGTCTTAGGGAGAGGTAGGAATGCAAAGATCACACCAGCTGGCTTCTATCCAGTCAGTTCTTTTGTCTAGCAACATATAGTTTTGCAATTCCTAGCACAATTCTAGCTTTTTGCCACACATTAGGTGTCGCCACACATTCCTGGAAAGAAAAATCTCTCAAGTTGAACCACAATTAGAATGTCTTAAAAGATAATGGACTACCAGCCAAATAACTGAAAAAAGACGGTCCATAAAAATGTAGTATTTCTATATAAATTGCATCATAAGGCTTACAGACCTTTAGTTTTGCTGTCCACCTCATCTCCAGGCAAACCCAACCTTTTTTTCCCAAAATCTGGCCCCACTGGTTTAAAGGTTGCTTGTTTAAATTTTTCACTCTGTTTGTTAACCAACAGCATGGATGAAGACAAGGATTCAGAGGACGAAGGAACTGTATACTCTGCCAATGTATCAATGCTACTTCCAGTTAGCCAATTAAAAGTACTTCTACCACCTGTAAAAAAAAAAAAAAGGGTAAAAAAAACTGTAATGTATCCACATATAAATCAAGTGAAAATATCTATGAAGCAGGTAATTTTCCTGCCTGGAAAAGTATCATTCCCAGTGTTTATGGGCAAAACAGATTTCAAGCTGTTAGGTAAAAAACAAACTTCTTTTACATTAGGCAGAACGTAAAATATATATGATACTAATAAAAATGTGACCAGATGACTTTTTTTCTCATAATGCAAAAAACCCCCGAGGTGCCCTTAAGAACAAAATATTAAATGCATTTACACTTTTGCATTAAAAATCCATATACAACAGGAAGGAAGAGAATGAAATAATTCCTATAGCATGTAAGAAAATTTCAGAAGACAGTGGTGTGGACTTACTGACATGCTGTGTAGGTGTAAATTCATATTGCCGTTGGGTAGCCCTCACTCGACCACCAATTGACCCAGAAGCAGAAAGGGATCTTTCTTGTGATAAACTCCTGTGGATACTCTGAGAAGCTTGAGTCTCCAGAAACATAGGTGTGAGCACAGTACTTCGATAACGCCAGCTAGAATCAATTACAAAGTCCTACAAACACAAAAAGATTTTAATAAGAACAGTAAGAATGGAGGCTTTTTGCCTTCCTTCCTTGAGACAGGATAGCAGAAATTAAAGTACAGAATAAAGCATCATCCCAGGTATAGGGACAGAACTTGACTACAAAAAAAAAAAACAAACCAACAAACCCAAACCACAGAAGTTCTCCATAGTTCAGTGAAAAAGCTCACTAATTTGGACTGGTCAGCTGAGGACTGATTCACAGCTCTTGTACCAGTACTCCTGTTTCTTCACAGTTTTTCGCCAGCTTATGGTGCTTCTCTCCACTACCCTCCTTTTTAAGTCTTTCAGTACTCTACACACCATCTATACTTTGTGTACATAGTTATTTTAATTAAACCTTTATTTTTTGAAGAGAAAGCAAAGTTATTGCCCCCACAAAATCAAACTTCTGATACTGTGCATAACCCACAACTATTGCAGTCGTTAACTATGAAGTACAAAACGCGCTTTCAAAAAATCTCCTTCACTATTCTTGGACAAGTGGTAACTGCATTAAGGAATGGCATTTGTCACACGGTTGCACAAAGGATAACACACTACAATTCACCTGAAATTTGCATTCAGACAGCGGATGCTCAAATATTTTTCTGTAATAATCCGGGCTCTTGCTAGTCATTTCAAGCAGAAAATTTGTGATTAGACTCAAGTACTGTGTTTCAATCTTGGTGGAATATAAAGAACTTAACAACGCCAGCATGCGCTCAAGAGTATTTGCAGGTAACCTTGTCTCGTCACTCCAAAAATTCCTAACAATTAATCTGTAAAGGCAAGGAGTCAAGTTATTCTTGGTTGTCTGCAAACAGAAAACACAACACTATCAAAAAAGTCAAGTTAAGAAAACACAGTAAGATTATAAAGCCTTCAACTAACCCTTTCATGCCATGGATCCTCCATTGTATTACACCAAATTCTTCCTTCACCTACCATGCTCTACGCCATTCAACTGATATTAAAGGTGTACTCTGAGAAAAGTATTTCTATTGAGTTGTTTTCCTCTTGAGAAGTGCTAGGGGTGGATACGCACAGAGATCTATTCTATCTTTGGCTTCACCAAAAAATTTTAAAAATCCAATATCCTCCAACATTTAAATCTATTTTTGTGAGTTTTTGTATAGCGAGGGCCTTTCTTGTTGTTCAAAAACTCTAGAACATTAATGCATACTGAAACAACTTCTCCATGGCTTAGAAGTCTGTTCAAAAGCTCTGTGCTTCACTCAAATTTGGTGTAACATTACGGGATACAATTTATAACTTAACTTATTGGAAGAAAAGGAAAAAATGTTACCTCACTGTTACTCTTTAATATCAAACTACTTTAAAAACCTCTAAGGATCAACACGTCTATTACAGACAAAGAAATGGCAATTTAGGGATTCATTACTTCAGACAACCGTCACAGCAACATTTACTCACTGCAGTTCAGCATTCTCATCAATTAGTCCTTGAAGTAGGATTTCTTTTGCCAGTTTGAGTATTTCCTGAGAATCACCATCTGCTTGGCTTTCTGGATCACTGATGGTAGGAGAAAAATGTCTCTTAATGACTTATCTCAAACAATCCGTAGTAAAATAAGAGGATGAGGATGGTGGGAGAAAAGGAAGAACACGCCCTTCTCATAAAAATCTCAACTTGGCATGACAATACTGCATGTTTTTCACAACATGAGGTCTTCATTGCCAAAAATATCTTATCTCTCCACTACTTAGAAAAGAATAAATCAGGAAGCCAAGTAATATGTGTTAGGTATTTACTATAAAGACCGAATAGAAGTAATTCTGAGTTTGCAAGGTTAAAACTGAGAAAAAAGCAGAGAATTAGCTTTTCCCAAGTAACACTGGAGTAAAAAATTTTTCTTCACAATAATTATCCCTTCAAATAGTTAAGTTATCTTGGAAAAATCATATAAAGAAACCCAACTGAGTTAGATGATTCAACAGCAACCCACTTGTCAAGCTGAGTACGTACTTGTTCCCTACTATAGGGGTCAAACAGAAAGAACAACTTTACGTGACCAGATTAAAGGGATCCAGATCATGCCAAAGTGCCTTAATCCACCTTCAACTTACAAATAAATTTCTCTAGTGTACAAATCTTTCTAGTTACCAATTCTGGCAACAAGAAAAAAAGTGGGAGCATCAGAACTAAGACCTCTTATGCCATCATGCTGTGATGATGCAACATCCCAGTTCTGGGATAAAGTTCAGGTCTAAGTCTTTGTCCCTTAGTGGAAATGATAAAAGTGCCACCAAAGGCCAGAGCTACTTAGACAAATCACAGGCTTTATTCTTCTGCGAACGGGAAAAATTCTGCACCGAGGGACATGAAGTTGGAAGGCAATGTTACAAACACTTTCAGTCTGCCTGTGACAAACCACTGAAAGACAACACCTCCAGTGAATACACACCTGTAATTATCATAAATCCACATCAGAATATCATACATGCGCTGTCGACATATTACGGAAAGGTGAGAAATGAACCCTGTCACTGCAGGAAGAAGTTCTTTAAGTTCTGGTGGTTTTAGTTTAGACAGCATCTTGTACACTATATCCAAACAAACCCTTTGCCTTTCGTCATCCCTAAAAAGAGATGGGAGAAAAAAAAAAAAAAAGAATAGTTATGTTGCTCTTCACTGCTACACACAGAACCAGAAGAACAGTTTAGGGTTTAGCAATAATATTTGGTTTTGCATAAAGGGCTTTAGGTAAATACTTTTGAGTTCAACCAAGACTAAGAACTTAACTAAACTAATACCTACTACAGAAATTCACATCCCAGTGGTGTTTCACCTTAATGCTATTTAGGGTTTTGTTTGTTTGTTTTTCACAGTGAGCCAACCATCTTAACTCCCAGATTCCATTACCTCAAATTAGGAGAGCAGTGACCAAAAAGTGAACATGAATTATAAATACTTCTGAAGGTAAAAATGTTGTGGCCAGCACAGAAAATGTTATCAAGAAGTTTAGACTATGCATCCACATTTGTAATCACATGATCACTCACCTGTGATTCATGATCTGGATAAAGTCTTTACTCTTTAACTGTAAGTGGAGATCAGGTATTTCTTCTGCACGACACATTATTACTTCCAGACAGTAGGTTTTCATCACACCATGAAGTTTGGGTAGCAAAAAGAATACTGCGTTCACAAACCTTAACACAACCAGAAGCCCACAAAGAAAAGCAAGTTATTTTCTATTATTCCTCTAGATCTACAATGAACATACCATGTAACTTATGACACACCTGTCAGCAAGAGGTGGAAAATTCTTAACAACTTTATTCAAGCATTGAATAAACTTATCCTGTTGGGTGTTCTGATGATGTTTTAATTGTCTTATGACACCATCATAAACTGGATCTTCAAGTACCTGAAAATGAGAAAGTAGGACAAGCATAGCCATGAAATTCATAACCACCTTAATGACACATTGTTCTGCTGTACTGTTTGATTTTAGTGCATTTTACTAGGTAAGATCCACCCACCTCATCTTGACATTTATGGTGCTTCATGGCTGCTGCCTAGCTGAAACACATGATTGTCTGCTTAAACAATACATTTGTGAGCTTTGTTTGATTGGTTTGGAACCAACGCCTTAATTTTGAAATACAAGTTGCTTAGTATGCTTACATAAATAAGTAGCAACTCATTTGGTATGGCAGATTTCCAATTAATGAATGTAAAAAACTAGACGTTTTTAGTGAAATAGTGAAAAATAATCAGCAACGTTCAGTTAACGTCCAAGAAATAAGCTTTGTGAAAGATAAAGTATTTGCACCACCTTTGCTTAGTTATTCAAAATGCTTATAATGGAACTTGGAAGACACTGAAAGAGAAGACTGCAGGAATTAAATTTATGAAATATGCTCTACAACCTGTGAAAGAACAACCAGAATGCAATTAAGTGGGAAAAGAAGAATAGTAGGGAGGGAAGTAAAGTCAGACTAATAATCTACCTAGCCAGTACCTTGGTATTTTTGTGTCCAACAGCAGCTACAGAATGATATTTAGGGGGTGTACATGAGCCTGGCTGCATTTTGTCCTCCTTTTCTCTCACAACCCAACATGTTTCCATCATTAGATTAGGGATCTTAGAGTGTACATTGTTGCCTATTACTTTTAGAAGCTGTTCATGATTTTTTTTTTTTTGTGCCTGAATTTACCTAATTTCTCTTTGAACCTGATGATGCTACTTAACCTTAGAATCTCTTCTGGCAACAAATTCCAGAAGTTTGCTAACTGTTGCGTAAAGTAGTACTTCTAGCATCTGTCTCACACTGATTTCTGTGATCATCAAGCACTGTCCCCTAGTTCTAATACTGTAGGATTTGGGGAGCAACAGTTTTGCATTCACCTTACCCATTACCTAGAGAATAACTGGATTCAAAATTAAGTACAATACCTTTAAATTTTATGTCAAAATTTACAAGTTAAACATCCTCAGATACAGATATTCAAAAGGTAGCTCCAAACCTACCAACCTGCAATTTTTTTTTTCTTTAAAAAAGAAAAACAGCTTTAAATGTACCATGCCAGTGTTAGTGGTTAGCAAAAGCTGAACAACGCCTCAGAAAGAGACTGTTCCCTGTCAGCTCCAAAACAGCAGCACAAAAACTCTGCACTTAGTCTGCTCTCAAACTGTTTTCCTCTTGAGTTTAAACTTTTAACGCAACCTGTTGGACAAAGGCTCTTGAGTTTTAAATACATTCATTTTTGCAGCTGAATTGAGTAGTCATACAAAAAACATACATAGAATTAGGACAGGAATGGTCAAACAAACAATACAGTTCACTTACATTTTCTCTCTCAGCAATGTATCGAAGAGCAAGTCCCAACACTTCTGCTGCAGCCGCATAAACTTCTTTATACTTTAATAAGCCCATGTTGCTGGTCAAAGCCTGAAAATACCTAACACAGAAGGTAGACCTGCTGTAAGCTACTACTCCAGCATCCAATTTTTAACTCAAACAAAAAACTCACCTGAGCTGCCTAGGGCAATAGTGACTACTTTTAGAAGACTTGAATACCGTGCAACATGGATTTCCACCTGCAGTGTCTCAAATCCTTGACTTGGCACTTCCCGACTCTGTTAATTCCCATGAAATTGCAACCCTAGGGCCCACTGTAAAAAAGCTTACATCCTTCTAGATATTTTCCAAAATAAATGCCGTCTGCAGTTTGCAGCTAGAAAAGCATTACATCTGACAGACAATAGCACAGGGATGACGGGACAAACAATTCCAATAAACGAACAATCCAGCTCCCATATTTCATGCTGACAAGTGAGACTTGCTCTCTTTGTCTTAAGCTTTTATCAAAATCATTCTCCAAAAAGTTGCATTTCTCACCTGACACGATCTATTTCACACTTTGGGTCAAAGGGAGGTAAATTGTTAGCAAGAACAATTCCCAGCAGCTGAATTCCCACCGAGTTGTCTTTTGTATCAGAGTCTCCACTAGAAAACTTTTCAAATATTAAACTGTTGGATAAAAACATAAAAGTAATGACTGACATGAAAAATCCATAATATACACACCATAAATCACTCACTGTGTATGTACAGATATATAGACACATACAACCCCACCAAAGCCAGCAGAAAATATGTACATATGCATACACGCTCACATCAAAACCAGTAGAAAGCTTGTTCAGAAACAAGTAAGTGTTCAGCTTCAATGAAGAAGTCTTCCCCCCACCCCCCAAAAAATATCTAAAAGGAGATTGTAAGCCCACACAAATTCTCTGCAACAAGTTCAGGAGCACAGCAGATCACAGAAGTCTTACTAAGAACACACCAATATTCAGTGATAATACCCCGAATTTCAAATAAAAGGTAAGTCTTTGCAGAGATTCTTCCTGCTTTTGTTGTTGCTTTGCTGTAATTCTCTACATGTTTTCCCCATTGCTCGCTTTGCTGTTTTGCAAATTAAGTTACAAACTTTGGAGAGCTCAGTTCTGAAGTTCTACTGTCAACACTAGGGACAAAAAGTTTACTATTGCAGTTGAATTTACCTTTTCATCTCCTTTGATAGTGGTTCACTTATATTCTTGAAATATCGATAAAAGAAAGCAGTTGTCTAAATGCTTACCTGTAAGGTATGGAGAGACAGTTCTTCCAACACTCTATAACTGTCTTTATGATTTCCAGATTGTGTCTGAACACAGCTCTTTTTTGGTGAAAGGCATTCTTCATCAAGAATTCAAGCAATCTGTTAGCTAAAATCTCATCCTTAATATTCCCCTACAATGAACAGGAGCAAACAGAAACATAGTGACTCCAACACGAAGACATATATTGTTTTATGAAAGCAAGCAAGCAAATAAGCTATTTTTGAAGTTAATACCTACAAGAAACAGTGGACTAACGTAGGAAATTATTAAAAGTGGATAATAACAAACTCACGCACTCCTTACCTAATAGTTACACTAATAATAAAAATGAATTTCACATTTCCTTACTTTGGGAGTGGTTACACTTGTCCAGGAGAGGATAGTAACTACGATTTCCACTACCATGTAATGAATCCCTTCACCTCCATTATTCCCAGAAACAACAAGCTGCAGCAATGGACCAAGCCACTGCTTTGCATAAGGTCGGAAAACCTATGGAAAACAGGAGAATCAGTGATCAAGTACAAATTATCCAACTGTTCAAAACCTGTTTTTCAATAACCATTATGGGTAAGACTGCTAAATCAACCTCTTATCACTTTGCTTAGCTTCTGAAGCAACAACCACAAAAAATTTAAAATAACTTTAAAATAACTTTAAAATAAAAAGTATCCATATCTACATTCCTCACTTCTGCACAGAAACCTTTAACCAAGTATTCACATAGAGTCAACTATTTCACTACAGCCCACGTAATACAGCGCTCACACAGAAAACCTGTCCCTAAAGGATTTGAAAGAGTATGCCATTCATCTAGCCCCCCCATTTCAGACAGCTTTACTAAGAAAGTAACATTAAGTGGGTGCTAAAGCTTCTTGAATTAATTCTGAAATTCAGCTTTTTTGTATTTCACATTTGGAATATTTCAGACAGAAACATTACACTTTAAAATCACTGTATGAAATAATATGAGAATGTTTTACCCAAGAATGAGAGTTAGAAAACATTTCTTCTCAGGCAAAGACACATTATACTATCCTAATACCTTTCTGCATCCAGAACATCATCATTTAGCTCTAAGGTTTTCCACAAGACTCATCTGTGACTACTAAAAAACCCATTGTATTTCCTCCTGCAAAGATGGCAAACAATCAGCCGTACCTCTTGCCTAGTATCAATGAATCAATTACTTATAGTTTACAGAAGACAGATATTGTGGACACCCTCTACTTATAGAAGTAGAGTTTGGGAGAAAAAGTATTTAAATTGCGTTCAAAATACTAGCGCTATCTGGAATTTTCGGCTATGAACGCACTACTTTTTATCACAGCAAACTACTCATTTTGAATGCCCCAAAAGTCTCAGCTGATGTGATGTGATTTTACACCACAAGTTACACAGTTGATATTATAATACAACCTGTTATGTTAACAGAAAAAGATATGACAAAAAAAATTACTCACATCCTCAGTATTAACAATAAGTTTCGCTATGAAGAGGCGAATATTTAGTGGTACTGATGGGTTTCCTAATTTACCATGCAGAAATTTCATCCAAAGAGGAAGATCTACTGGAATTGTCCCCTGAAATTTAAAAGAGAGGAGCAAAAAAATCAACTTACTTCTTGGACCAAACAGGCTTATCAAACCAAAAAGCCCCCCAGCTTGAGCCACACTGGTCGCACTATAACATAGCAAAGAAAATTAATAAATGAAGGGATTCAATCATGACTCCCTTTTGTTGGTATAATTAGTGAAAAAATGCCAACTTTTTGGTTAATACTGGCCTCCTCTACTTTGGGTGTGATCTGGTTCCTCTGCATATGTTTAATCAGAGTGGTCATAGAAGCCATACACTCATGTTGGTTGAGTTCATCCATTTCCAGTTCCATCTCATCATTTAAAACCATGTATTCTGTGGGCTCCTGAAAAAAATGTTACTATGATTAATACCACCACTGTAGTTTCTTTTAAATCATAATGCCATGAGTCATTCTGATCTTATCTGTGTTTACGGATTTGACTATACGCTCATTGTGCGCAACAGGGAATACAGCAAATGTGCTGTTCAGACACCTCCCAAATATATGTACCAGCTGTGCACATCTTTTACTTTCTGTGCCAACAGATGTCAACTTCGTGTTACTTTGACTTTACTACCTGCCAGGATAAGTGTGGCAACTGCTGGACGCAGCAAGAGTTAGCTGAACCTCACAGAAATTACTTCCATTTTTCCCAGCTGAAAGAATGTGTTAACACCTTCCACAGGGGGAAAGCCCTATTTTTACGGATGTGTTGCTTCACACTGAATAGCAACCACAGCAGCTCTCTCTTTTGCTACACAGAGTAAATCACAAAAGAAAATTGTTTGCAGTTAGAAATTACAACATTACTGCACAAAGCAGATAGAAAGCACATTTCTGGTTAACCTCACTGCAGCTAGAACACCTCCTTGCTCCAAAACACAGAAACAGTTTATCTCTTCTAATGTTAATGGTTATTTTGACAGATTTCATCTTCAATGCCAATGACACTTTTACAAACTTCCATTCTGTTTTATAGCAAATATCTGTCCTATCAGTATTACTGTTGATGAGACGTCTCTTCACTGTAGAAGGAACACAACTTAAAGTCTTGGAAGATACTAAATGCTGTTCTTCCAAGAGTCACAGTTAAATACAAGGTGCCACAACAGCGATACAAAAATAATAAAGTGTTTGATCTCTTGTTCCATACATTTGATACAATCAGCTTGGTCAAGTGCCTTTAAAGACCTAAAGATGTGGGAAATGTGGAAACCAGGTGCCTAACAGAAGTACAAGCATCACAGGATAATTCTGAGAGCACTCAAAGTCAAACGCCGCCTTTTTACAACTCAGACTGGACTTCACTCAATTTACTCAACTTGAGAAACCCAAAGTAGCATACTGCTTTTCTCCATCTGTAGACAGTGGAGAGAGGGAAGAAGAAAAATGACCAAGAGAACACAGCTGAAGTCAGCCTCCCTCATCTTCTGGAGAAATCCATTCTCAGTCAAGTAGAACAAACATAGGAGAACAGAAATTTCTCAACTCCAATAAATGTATGCAATTGCTAGAAAGCATAAAAATTCTCTTTCTCACGGCACGTAAGTCACTAAATTACCTTTCTCCTGAAATGAGCACTGCTAGCTGTAATATCTTGGGAGCTGTAAGAAAAACCTTGAACTCCAGTAGAAAAATCAAACTGACTCATTTCCTCACTCAAACTGCTATCCATCATATACGATGCAGAAGCTAAATACTTGGGTTCATCTAAATAGGAAAAAGAATAGACCATTAATGAAGGAAATTACAAGAAACAAGCCTTTACTGGCCACTGAAACTTAAGGGTGGGCAGGAATTAGTTGTTAGATGAAGTACATTGAATGCTTTTATTCTTTCCTGCTACAATAGAAGCCAATTAGCAACACATCAATGAACACTGTCTGAAGGTAAGAAGGCCTTTTTTCATAGTCATAAAGGACTTTCATACCCTGATCACTATTCCCTGCATCCCTGGCCTCTTTTCTAATAGCAATGTACCGCTTCTTCCTTTCCAGAGGCACCTAAACAGCAAGAAATAAAGTTTGAAAATTATTATTTTCTTTAATTTACAGTTTGTTTACAATTATTTATGTACAGAACTGCCAAAAAATTTAACATTGTTCCATTTAACATGAATGGAAATACTGTGTTATAAGTGATTATAATTAATGCTACAGAACAACAGATAAATTACTTATTCCTACAGTTGTTTGTTAGGAGAGTAAGTGTGCTAAAAAGCGTATTAGAGTTACATGCACTGCAGGTGTGTTCTAAATTTCCAGTCTGGATTTTGCTCAGAAAAATGTATTTTAAAACATTAAAGCAGTACTCTGTTTTTTATTCACTACAGAATTCTCTTTCTCAATTCGTAATAATTGACCTGGTCTACAGTGACACTGTTAGACCCACACTAATTTTTTACTTAGGAACACTAAAGCCCAGAAGTTCCACTCACCTCAATTTCTACAGGAAATGTATATTGACGCTTCAGGTCTATCAAATTTTCAAAAATCAGCAAGTTCTGCAAACCAAAGCATGTTCGGAAATATCAAAATTATAATTCTGCACACAATAACAATTGCGTATTTTATTTCTTCTTAAAAAAACCAACAGATCAACATACAATACAGAAAATATGGCATGTTTACTCTCCTACATCAACATTTTAAAGAAAATTTTGCTATTCAACTACTCAAGAGGTTCTCTCTTAATCAAGTATATTCCAAGCACTGGAGAATTTAAACAATATTTTTTCTTCTCATATTTTAGAAAATTGATCGAGAGTGGAGGGAAAAATGGGGTAAATGTATCACCATTTAATTCATTCCCAAACAGACATTAAACCCTTATCAACAATTGATATTGCATGAAGGATGCAAGGAAGCCAGCCAGCTACAACTCCTTCTATTGCCTCACTGGGTAGTTTGTTAATATAATTGCATGTCATTAAGGTTTGATCCTTCTATTTAATGCAATCAAGTAAAAATCACTTTGTGTCTCATGCTCTGGAAGCCTTCTAACAGCAACAACAGCTTCTCACCTTTTCTGATTTTTCTGTAAAAAGAAAACCTTGATAAAATTTACTTTCAGTGAAGACACAGCTGATAACAGCAATAGCACAATTATATGCTGCACAGTGATACTGTCTCCTCTTCTCCAACAGCTGACTCTCTCCTGCCATGTTTTCTGTAAATGCGTCATAGCATGACCTTAAAATACAAACAGGCAAGAAAATACCATCAGAAGTCTTCTTTTAAGAAGCACAGGAAAAGCCCCAATCAGAGACCAGTGAATCAACAGAATTCAGGAGATCTTTATTATTGTAGCAGTATCAGCATTAAACTGCCTCAGACTTGTTCAAGATCTGTACGGGCATACTGAGCTGAAATAGAACCATTCAGCAACGATAAAGACAACTTCCCCAAGTATTTACACAGCAGCCCTTAGCGGCAGGAATACAAGAATAGGCCATATTCAGATAAGATGCAGATGTGTTCCAACACATAAATCAATCTCTCTCATGGTCCTTTCCCAAGAAATTATAAATGGACAGGCATGCTAAGCTATGCTATAGATTAGCTAGAGAAAGCCAATTTAGATGCAATTTTCATAGGCCTTTTGCCCATAACAATTTATAAAGCTTCTGCAAATCACAGCCAAGAAATTCTTTAAAGTCCTCATAGGACATGGTATTGTAAAACAAAATTAAAACAAAATGAAAAAAGAGAAATGAACAGCAATTCAGGCATCTTATATTTTTTTTCAGAATATTAAACAAATGAAATAATTTAATTAGCTTATATATTCAGTATTAATCTTTTATCCCCCTCTGCAGTGTTGACTAAACCAAGTTACGTCTGCTGGGTGTGCTGTTATATTATGAAATGTAAATGAAAATCCATCCCATCTTCTCATCCATCATATAATACCTATCTTACAACACAGAACCATAATCTACATAAAAGTGTAAGCATACTGAAACCGAAATTGTGAAAACACAAATTAAAGGCCAAGAACCATACTGAAAAGCAAAAATAAAAGCACAAGCTTAATAAATAGAAAAGAAATGGCAAAAAGAGGAGGCAAAAATTATCCTGACATAGGATTGGATTTTAGTCTATGTTAGAGATCATTCTATCGATGCAAATTCAATATTGTGTACTTCATGTACAATCAAAAGCTACATCACAGACTACATTTACCCTTGGGCAAATCAATCTTCTACTTTATATGGCATACCTAAAAAGTGTATCTGCCTAAAACCTAATTAGAAATTAGAAGGAAATAAAAGAAATAATAGTCTTACTTTATTAATGTCTTGGTAAGTTCATTTCCTTCTACACTCATGGAGCCCCGGTAAGCTTGATTAATTTTAGATTCCTTGGAGTAAACATCCTCTTTTGAAAGACGCACATACATCACTTCGAGCAGCTTGTAATACCCCATTTTCTTGGTGACTTGTGTATCAAAAGTATATTCATTGGACTGGAAACAAATAAGAAAAAAAACCTCAGAGAGAGAATTCCTGGATCTTGCCCTTCTGTAGTAGAAATTAGAGTAACTGTGGAGCTACTTAACAGCCTTCAGCTTACTTCTACCTTCTAAAACAGAGAAAAGAGCTGATGATAATAAGACTGATAGATTCTGAGTTCCTGTGTAATACAGTTACTAAAACTATTTGTCTTAAATGTAATTGGCCTAAATCATTATAGTGGTGTCAGAGTAAAATAAGCAGAATAGCTCAGACTCATGACACCTGTAAGGAAAATATACATACCTGTCACCATACTGGCTATCATTCATGAGTTTCTTTAAGCACCTCACTTTGGTGCCAACATTTACAGCAACAGAAACATGGTGGGGGTGACTCTACATAAGTCTTGGTTTTAGCATTTTGGTTTTAATAACTGTTACTAAACATGGATCATTTCAGCATCTTCTTTGTCCTGCTGCTTTTAAACAGCTGCACCAGCAAAACCACAGAAGTGAACTACTGCAAGAGCAGAGACCTCCACTGACAACTAAATTATTGCCTGTAACTGTACTTTAAATCGGAGGATAGGCTGTAAATAGAGAAAGGATGATCTGTGCTTCCAATTCCTTCCTGAAGGATCTTTGCAGTGATTAGAAGATGTGTTTCTTTCTCTAGAAGTAAGGCACCTAATTTAAGAGCTTTCATTACTGAGGTTGAATATCTCTTAGAAGACAGTAACAAGCTACAATTTTATACAGCTTTTATATTTCAAAGTTAGAACGGGTTGCTTTTGACAGAACCTCAGACCCCTTTAGATATATATACATAACATTACAACTTTGATTTTTATACACAGTAGATATACAAACATACATTAACTTCAAAGCAACAGTGTGCTGGGGAATAAAGAAAAGTTTCTCAGTAATAATCAAACCATGTAATTGGCACAAAATTCTGCTCCAAGATACAGGAAATTGGAAAGCAAATGGCTTCAATCAGTGTCTCACTCAAAGTTAAGCAAAATGTACATACCAACACCAGTATTTCACTTCACCTTCCCCAATCCTAAAATAAAAGGTAATTCATACCTTTGTAAACCTGGAATTAAGCACATCCATAGCCTGTACTATAATCTTGCCAAAGAATTCTCTCAGCGCATCCAAACTGCAGTGCCACAAGAGAGTGAGGAGGGAGCGATCCATAAACGCTTGACGGGTAGTATTTGAAAGAAGGTCTTCACTCTGGAACATTTTGTGAACAGTGTCCAACAGTATCACTTGTTTGTCAGTGGTGCTCCTAAACAAGATGGAAATCTCAAGATGAAAACTCTTTTACCAGACTACATTTATGTTTCAACCCCCCCTGATATTTCAAATTTTTTTTATTGTCTGTGTTCATATTGCGTTGGTTTATCTTCCAAGTCACACAAGATCAGGTTGAACTGCCACTTACTGCGGAGCTCTCTAAAGAAAATCTCAGCTTCTTACTCTGCAACAGATGGGAAACTTGTTCATATATTGTTGTTAGTTTAATTCAAAAGCAATCATTATCTTTCTCAGTCCCTTTTTTGCCGAATGACCTAAAAAAATATTGATCTGGTATACGTGAAGGTCGGGGGCAAACAAGAAGGAAAAAAAGGAGGAGACTTCACTGTTATCAGGTCCTTCTGTGGCCTATCAAGTGTTCCATTACTAGATGAACTGTTGTTCTGAATAATTTTATAAAAGGTAAAACTTCAAAAATAGGATTTGGGCCTAAGGTAAATGACTTTGTCCAGGAAACTACACGCTTCAAGTGTCACTACTTAATAGCCCATCACGAATTGGAATGTTTGGTTTTGGAAAAGACTGAAGACCTCTTCTGTGGACAGAGCTTGTGTCTACAATTTGTCACCCCGGAAGCTTTCAATTAAATAAATGTGCTGTTGTATTTTCAAAGGGGTTGAACAAAGTAATTCACTGTCAGTTTAAGTGCTACTTTAATGATTGCATGGTTATACAGGGACAGCAAATATAGGTATCACACACAGTTACCATCTTCAACTGAATTCTGCCAGAACAACCTAATTTACAGAAGGCTTTACAAAATTTGCCCAGGCACTGGAAATGTCACCTGGAAGTTGGTGCCACTTGTTCTCACTTCAGAAATCGTTTGGAAATGTGAAGACAAAAGCAATATCCAAATTAAAACCATTATGTAAAACTTTATGGTGTCAATCATCACTATTACACAGACAACATAATAGAGGAAGCACATTTGCTTCAGCAAAAATTCAATGAGAACAAAAGTAAAATCCAGTAGACCAAACTCACCTTCTGGAAATTCTTTTGAAGCTGGCTTGAAATAAGCCTTCCATGAAATGTCTGTGGTCCCTACAGAGGATTTCTGTCATTAACTGCAACAGCATTGGACTCTGAGACAATTCTAATGCATCTAAAAACTGAAAAAGAAGTAATGCATAACATAAGGAGCCACACTGGATCAAATAAGTTCCATCCAATTATGTAATTATTTTTCAATACTGAACAGAAGCAGATGCATGGAAAGGATATGCTTACTAAATGTATATCTGTACATTAAACTTATGAATAAAGACATAACTCAGAAACAGAAAAACTGATTTCCTTATGTGAACTGAGTCTCTCTCCAGATCCTGTGAAACACTATTTCTAGACATGGTTCATTTAGGCTTCTAATTACACATTTGTTAAAAATACTGACCTTCTTAGTGCAGTCTACATAGTTATTGTGCCTCAAGGTTCCTTTGGGAAACTCATCTGACCTCATGGGAAAACTGAAAGCAACAAACTGATCAAGAGCATTCTTAAGCTCATTAAGTTTTTCTCCAGTCAAATTAGTGAAGAACGGAAGAATTATCACTGCTTGACCCTGAAAAAAAGAAATGCAGTTTCACACTACAGAAATTACCCTCTATGAAGGAAGCTGAATAAGACCACAAAATAATCAGCAGCGGCCGTGCTTACTGATTCAACGGCTCAGTGTGCTGATGAAGACATGTTATGCAGTGGCTCATCTTTAAGGTGCTATTTCAGAAAACAGCTTTGGTCACAGCTGAGTGGGAGTTAAAAGCTAATTAGTATCTCATGGTTCACATGGCTACCAATAAGACCTTACTGTTCTTTTAAGCAAGCATCCATTATCACACAAGTCACTGATTTAACGCATCACCTGGTAGCTAAAGCAAGATCCCAAACTTCATCCATTTTGAATGCACAGCAAAGTACAAAACTTTGTATAACTAAATATAGACTGACTGAGCAGCAACCATGCAAAACTGTTTCATAAGTCCAAAATTTTCAGTCTTCTAGTCCAAAGCCTACGATCCAGTATCTTTTAGAACTTCCACTTTCAGTATGCAGTATTTTATCTCCCCCTCCTGACCAAGCCACATATAGCAGTTAATCCATTGGCTCTGGTCTCATGCTTGCAGATACAGACAACAAAGTCATGGCAGATGTCTGCAATTTGACATGTAGCAAATGCCACTCCTTGCTAAAAGCCTGATTAGCTGTCATTTCTCAAACGAACACTGTAGAGTTCTAAACTACTTGCAACTGGTAGTAAGGTTTTCTCCTAAAAATTACATGTCTTTCAGTAGGGCAAGGAAAAAAGGAGCACCTAAAAACAAAACACATCTCTGATACTGCCTTCTGTCTAAAGAAAAAAAGGACGATTTACAATTTCTAGGATGTTGAACAGGAGAAAAATGAAAATGATGTCCATGTTACTGTGCAAACTAAAGTAAAATTTAAGCCAAATAACAGGGAATTTCATGAAAAACTAACATTCTAATCTGGGGAAGGTGGGGAATCCACTGAAGTGAGCAATTTACCTTAAGATTTAAGCCTAAGTTCTGGTCAGTAAGTAGGCTGGTATAGGTATTAAAAACAGCTGTAAATGCTTCATGATTGGTATTGAAAGAAACTGAGGAATCTATCTGGAACAACAGAAGAAATAAAAAAATTAGGATTTTCCTTTTTAAACCAGTCAAAGAGATCATTGTATTATTGTATTATATTGTTTATTTCCAAAAAATAAAACAAATTAACAGAAAGCACAGAGTGATTTTAGTTTTTAAAGGACTACCAAAAAGAACTCTAAAAGCTACACAGTACAATCAATCATTATGTTGGATATTTTTCAGTTCAAAAAAAATACTAAGCTCCCTCTTCGAGCCAGATTTCCTATCGGTCACTTCACTGCCAGCTAATACAGCAATATAGCTCGCATTCTGTGTCCTAAAACTTACCTTTAAAACAATTCAAGGTTATAATAATTATTATAAAAGAAAAAAAAAATCGCAGTAAGAGATCTTTGTGTATATTTGGGCACAGCTACTTTTACAAGTTCCTAAAAAACACCAATAGGATAAGTAGATAAAATATGTTTTCAAAATAGAGGGGAAAAAAAAGACCCAAACCCCAGTGTAACAGAAATTAAAGGTCTTTATTTCAAAGATCTTTCTGCAGTCTCTTGATACAGGTAGAACTCCTCCATTGTGACTTTCTGGATGCCTACATGACAAAGAACGGTATCGGAGGCTGCTCAGTTTCAAAGCTTATTCCCTGTGCTTTTACCAATTCTCCAGAAGGAAAAAATGAAGCTAAAGCATGAGAGCAGTTTAGAAAAAAAAAAAAAAAAAAGAGGGAAAAAGCAAAATGTAGTAATTTCTGTCTATCCGAACATTTTTTGTACTTTGCAAAATAGCAAGATACCAGATTCTGATATTCCCAAACTTCCCCCCACCTCAACCATAAAACATCAGAATGAAAAGCATTTCTTTAGAACAAGATACAATTCCTACAGAATTAGAAAAGTTAACTAGATTTTATGAAGGAACGCATACCTGGAGAACTTTTGCCAGCAGGGTTAAGACTGCCATTTTGCTATCGGGAGCTGAGCCTTTGGCCCACCAGCTGTCAAGTTTCCTCCAGTTTCTTAGTACAGCCGTGACCAGTTTCACTCCTTGCTGCTTGCGTATGGTACGCTCCCTAAAACTCTGATCTAACATGCCGTTCAAAATGCTGCCAACCTGGAAGGAAAAGCAACAGGTAGATTCTTGAATCCCAAATTAAATGGCAATAGGATCTCTTCACTGGTATGGGCAATCATGAAAGAAGGAGAACCTAATACCTGACTGAAAGGTGGTTGTTAAAAGAAAAGGACAAAAATCCCTTCAACTTCTGTCTGACCTACTCTCTGCCCTAAAAGCATCTAAATTAGAAGCGCCTTTTTCTTCCTAGACTGTGTCAGAAAATCAAGATTAGAATCTAAAATTAGAAGATCTTAATTCTATCCCATATCCTTAAATATATCTATACTTAATGGAAAGTAAATGTCTAACTAAGGAGCTATGAAAATCCTACCCTGACATATCAGCAAACTTAAGTTTAATTTATTAAATCTCATAGCAATGCTAGATTTAAATCTCAGAAACATACAGAAGTCTCTGCAGAAAATTAAAAGCACACAGCTTTCAAAAGAGACTTCTATCCAATTTACTCCTGGTTCATTCAGAGTACAATGCAGCAATTCCTTCCCATATCTTTTGTGTGAATATGGAGAAATAAATGATAATCCAGAATAACTCTAAACATCAATACTTGAAAATTTTAGTTAGTGTGAAGCTGAAAAATAAGAGAAATAGCATATGTGCTAACTTACTTGCACACATTTTGAAAAGAAACGTAAACCACAGCATACCAGATGTGAACTAAGTATACTTCAATCTCTTTTCTTCACAGTCTAAGACCAACCTGACTAAAACTAATGGTCACTGACTTCCAAACCTGAATTCTGCGTTCTCCTCTTGAATAGCTGGCAACCACCTAATAAACCGGATTAGTGTCATCAACCTTCTGACTTCACCAGATCTGGATGGGTACAGTAAGATAAACCTTATTTTTCCTCCACTTACGTCACAAATGCATATAACTAAAGAAGAGGTATCTTATCAAATGTAATCAATAATATATTTTTTAAGTCAGGCAAAGAAGAACAGCAGATAGCAGGCAACAGAAAAGTGTTTGTTTGACCAGATCTGACTATTTACCTTAATTAAATTAATGAAGACTCTTAACACTATTGCCACGTGTAGCTAGTGTAAATTAGTAGCCTATCATTTACCAGAGACACTTTTAAAAGTAAATCTATTGTGGCATGCTCTGCACCGGAAACACGAAAGTCATCACAAGCACCAGCCTTTTACAAGATCTATACATCTCTCTACAATCAAATTAAATGATTTCTGGTATCATAAAAAATTATGCTCCCAGTGTTCTAAAATGTAACTTGGAAGCAACACCTTTAAGCATAAAATTTTGGATAAAAACCGATTCAATTGTTTTCAGAATGATAATCTACTTTCCTGAACATCATCTTAAACAAAAGGGAAAGTAGAATTTTGATCTTTCTTTTTGACCCAGCAGCACTAAAAGAAGGCTTCTAAATTATAACACGCTTCATTTGTGGACCTGAAGGTGAGCTCTACATTAGCAAGTAGTGTGGACCAACAGGAGAAAATCTGTTCAGCAAAACAAGTGGTGCTGAGACTGTGAACATGACATCTACCCAATATTCATTTCAGGTCATGGTAGTTGTGTATGTATATGCGTTTGCCTCTTTTTAATACTTTGACCAGGCTCTACTCTAGTTCTGTGGACTAAATGGCCATTACTGCTTCGAGTTCATTTTCTAGCTTTGTTTTATCCAAAACAAATCTAGCCCGCATGATGCAGGACCACTCTACAATGAAAATCAAAGCCCAGTAAATGGGAACAATCAGACTTGCTTTGAAAGGACATTCTTGGTCTGCAGCACTGTTCATAGACTTCAGGATAGGTAATAGGTAAGCACTTTCCACTCAGTTTGACGTGAGACAGCAGACAGCCTAAGTTATGTCAGGTTGCCAGGGGTAGCACCAGTAGGCACCAGTAGGCTATGACAAAAAATCCAACCCAAAAACCTACCAGTGCAATGCTATCCAAAATGCAACCAAATGCACTTTTCCCACCACTGCACACTCAGTTACATCCATCTATAACAACAAAAGACGTGTTACTTCTAACATTCTGATTTGACTTTGTCCTTTTAAAGAAGTCCCAATACCATTTGGGGATTGCTGACAGATGATTCCATAAGCTGGACTATGACCACATCCAGGTTTTTCAGCAGCTGTCGATTGATGGTTTCTGAGAAGAGGCTGTAGAAATACTGTCCATGAGAGAAATTGATCAGGTTCTTCTGGGATGCTCCTGATAACGGCACAGATAACACCACCGTGTTCAACAGCAGACTTACTAGCTCTTCACACTGTGAAAATTAAGGTATAGAGACAGAGTTATCTCAAGCACATAAAGTTCCACTCATTTCTTATAAAAACCCATGAGTTCTTCAAAGCTTCCATTTAAAACTCTTATTGCCAGAAAGCACAAAAATAAAGCACAACCAGATTACTGACATTCTTGTTATCTACAATTGTCACTCAATTAAGCCAAAGAATCCTTACAGTTCCTCTGTGGGATTATGAATAAAACATCAGCCTCATCTACCCAAAATGTGGGTGGAAGACTATTGATGATGAATATTAAATGATGATTCAGTATTAAAACTGGAGAATTGTATCCTACCTGGTCATCAATAGCAAAGGCTAGCTGCAGGAGTCTGTCAGCTAATCGCTTACTGCTGATGTCTAATGATGGAAGAGGTATCCTTTCACCCCCATGTGCAATACCTTTATAAACAACTGAAAGAAGCTTAGAGCCAACTGAGAAATGCCCTTCATCCTATGGAAATAAACAAACAAGTGACAATTAATATAAGCTGCAAAAATAACATAAAGGCCTTCCAATCCACCTGTATAGCTAATGAAAACACTTGAACTCCGGATCATTTTCTTATAAAGTGATGCAAATATAGCATGACAAGCCACCTCTCTAACTGAGGAACAAGATTTTTAACAAGACTACCCTGCTGCATACAAAGTTCAGAAAAAACTAATAGTCATTTGAAAAATCTTTGAAAGATTCTGATCCTCCTCCAGACTATTTTCAGGTAACAACACTACCACAGAAATAGAATGAAGCGCTTAGTCAGAACAGGTGAGACACAAAAGGTAAATCATGCAGCTCCTCAAATGCCACCATCCTACACTCACAGCTCTAGCTTTTGTTCAGATGTACAGCATATATGGCAAACACCCCACAGAAATTAAATATTTTGTTACTTGCTAAGTATAGCCTGGCTCACCAGTAGACAAATTGTCTCAGTTCTTGTGGCTGTTGCATAGCCTGTTTCCTTTCAATTGCCCAAAGTAAAATAACTGACTACAATCAGAAACTTAGTAGGAAAAATTCTTTCGAGTAATATAGCCTAGAACCCTACCCCCAACTGTTCTCCATCCTGTTTTCCTGCAACTCAGACTCACTATATTGCTTCTGATCAGCCAGAATGTCTTCCTTTTCTAATTTCCCTCATCACTCTGAAAGTTTAAAAATTGTTGAAAAATGCCTCCTTTATAAGATAGTAAATCCTGATTTTTTTGAGCTTTCAGTATTGTGAAGCTCACTAAAAGGAAGTTTTAGGTAGATTCTGGTTGCCTCAAGCCCCTGGAAATTGGAGAAAGACAGACATAAATATGAAGATTGTTCAAACCTCAGTGTTGTGCTACTCAGATTCGTAGAGTAAACATAAAACATTTATTTCTGCCCCTATTCAACACCAGCTCTTCACTGTTGATCTCATTTTACACAGTTTCTTCACCTGATCTGTTCTGTTTTCATACTGGCCTTTTACACAGGAAAAGCTCTTTACTGTATAAAAATATTCACCATTATTTTCTGGGTAAACCATTACCTGATTGTGAAGAACAGATTGAAGCAGGCCGGACTTCTGGAGTTGCTTGCAGGCAGAAAGGACAGCACTAAACCTAACTTGATCAAAACGTGCATCTGAATTAAACAGATCAACAGAACAAAGGTCCTCAAGGCTAATGAGAAAAGAGAAGCAGTAACATTACATTGGTGGGGAGCTCAACGTGCAACCATACGCAACATTATTTGCTTTCTGTTTCTCTTGGTGAGTGGCATTTGTTCTGGATTCATGCTCACCAGAAAGTCCCTACTTACCTCTGCAGTGTTATTCTTTTCTTTATGCACAGTTTCAAAGATTCCTTATAGGGAGATTTCATCAAAGCTTTCATGAGTCTTACTGAGATATCTGGGAGATTTTTCATGACTTGCACATCAGCAGTGTTAAAGCCGATGTGTGATGGATCACACACTGTCATCACCAGAAGCTCTATAAGGGTTGCATTAAGCAATTCCTTCTCAAGTAGCTAGAAAGAATAAAACATTAAATAAAAGATAAATTTAGAAATCCATTTAGATTTCCTTATTTATTCTTCATACCTTATCATGAGTCCTTGTATCTAAAATGAAACAAAACATGGAATGGTAACTATTCTCACTAAATGACATTTTATTTCTCTGTGAAATATCTGACTTTGAATCAATTATGCTAATACAGAGAAATTATAAAAATATATATAGGATATATGCTATCTCATCAAACTGCACACAAAATCATTTATGTCCATATAGGCCTTGATTATACACCTGTAATCACTCTGAAATCCAAATGTACACCTCTGTCTATTAGAGATTAACTTAAAACAAGAGACAGACAGAGTCTTGGAACTAAACTTGACAGTGTAAATTTCATTAGAGACTCAGAAGTACTATAGTGTATATAAATACAGTTTACATTGCACCAAAGCTAGGCAAATGGAGAGACCGAAGTATTATACTGAATTCAAGAAAGAATTGCCATAATCTGCCTTTTTGCCTTTTAAGCAGCTCCACACATTTAAGGCCATCAGAAGTCAAGCAAGAAATATTCATTGCAAGTACTCCAGAGAATGACAGTCTCACAATCAATATACAACTGGAATGTACAGGAAATATTAATTTCTGTAAATCAAAACTACATGACCCACTAAAATTCAACTGTGCAACAGAATTCTTTTCACTTACATGCAAAGACTGTAACAGTTTGTGACACGGGCATCAATTTCAACTAAAGCACCACTAAAGATGATGTTCTCCAGCAAGCTAACTTCACAATTACATCACAGTCTTTAACTACATATAAAATTTGTATCTTTTATCCACTACCGACTTCAGTGCCTACCTTCCAGAAATCCTGCTGGCAGGTTTCCAGGATCATGGTGACAAACTCCATGATTCGGACAATAATTGTACACTTGCTGTAATTATACGCATCTCTCTCTTGGGGACTGAACATGCTGCCTTTCGAACTGCAGTCAAAGCACTGCTCTGCTGCGTGGATATCATGCAAAGCAATAGTTTCAAGGAAGAACTGCACAGCTTCCAAGAATGAGGATCTTTCATTTCCACCTAGAAGAATCGCACTAAGTTGAAATGATACCGCAGCTCTCAACTTTTAAATATATTATTTTGTGTTCAGAAGAAAACAGTTGAACTGAGATAACAACCAGCAATCCAGCACATCTGACACCAGTGTTTTCTGAAAGTCCTATGCCAGTTCCAAATATTAACATTCTGAGCAGTGAAGTGTAGCTTTCTACTTACTGATCACTACAAGCACTCATTAATGATGACGACTTAGGCATGTGTAATAAAGAGGATAAAAATTTTAAATCCCCAGTTTTGAATAATTTGGCCCTATGCTAACTGCATCCAACAATGATCTTACAGTACTGTTTTAAACCAAGACAGAGACAACACTGACAGATGGACTACCTAGAACTTGTACAAGACTTCATATATGAAGTAACTATGCAACTGTACTAACAGTGATAAAAAGCATTTTGTTTAGTCCTGCATGAATAACAAAAATAACTTTTTAAGAGACCCAATGCCTACACAGGGCATTATTATGCACTCCATCAAAAGTAAAATACAAGGCTTTTGGACCTGATGCAGTTGAAGCACCAGGAAATAAAAAAAGGTAACATATACAGGGCTCGAAGTGAAAAGTGAAATTCTTTCACTGCTTTCTGGTAGCTCCCTCCAGACATTAATGAAGAGCAGGTAAACAGCTTTTGAAGGATTAAAAAAAAAAAAAAAAAAAGACCCCCCCCCCCCCCCAAATTAAAAAACCCTCTCTTAGTAAAAGAAGTTACTGGTGATTGCATGACTGAGACACAGACATTTAAAGGTATATTTCTAGCACTAAAAGGAAACATTTTAAGATACACTATTAACAATGTACTTCATCAAAAAACATCCAGTACAACAATTGTCATTGAAACCTTTGGGAGCGTTTGTAAAATTCATGAAGTCTACATTTTAGGAAAAAGCTTAAAGTCCAAGTTAGGAACTCATCTTGGATGGGCTTTGTGTAACAGACATGAATGAACCTAATGCAACAGTTAATTGCTCACCCAGTATTTCGTGAGGTTTGATCATACGTAGCTCAAAAAATGTATTGTAGCAGTCCAGTGCTGCTAAGAACATATCCATCCACCGCATGACAGTCTGTAAACTGAAGGGCTCCTGCATACCACAGAGAGTTGGCTGAGAAAGGATCCCAGATGGACTTTTGGCATCACTGCCACCTCCTTCAAATTTATTAATGAGAAAAGAAATGTCTCTGTTTTTTAGAACATCAGCCAGCCAAGAAGATGGAGACATGTTTCCTGATAGAAATAAAAACAGAAATATAAATTCTCTAGGAAAAACAACAGTTCTATCTAGCAAGAAATTAGAGGCAAATGGACTGATGTGCCCAAACTTTGTGTTTTCAACTGGATCTTCTAGCAGAGAAGGTATTGATTCTGGTCTAGCCTTGGTCACACTACTTAAATTACCCACAAGGAAGAGGTCAATCTGTGAGATGCTCCCACTAGTTCCCAGTCAGCAAATACTGCCTTCGTAGTTGGATACAACAGCAGTTCTGGGGCTCCAAGTTCTCCTTCCTGGTCGGAAGGAAGTTCAAAATAAAACCCTTTTCTACTCCCACAAACCACCCACAAGCCCTGAGGTTCTCACAGTATTTGATTTCCAATATGAGCAACTACTCAGTTTTTATTTAACAGCACTGAGTGAATAGACATTTACCAAAATAATATAATAACAAAAATAATTTTTCTTGTAATAAATAGTTTGCACAGAAAACAGAGGGATGGCACGCACAGTATTTAGAAAGCAAATATAATGGTGCATTGTGACTTACAATACCTGGTAACAAAGGAACAAATTCATAGAAGAGCTCCATGGCTTTATGTCGGCACTCGGTCTGAGGTCGTCCACACTGCACTAAGAGCCACATGACAACGTCCAGAAGACACACTGACTTAGCAGCTGGAAATCCTCTGCAGAAAAATATTAGGGATTAACAGTCTTCATGACATCTACCAAGAAACCGTAGTCTGCCGGTTGAAAAAAAATCAAAATGTTTCACAAGCATTATAAATGTCCTTTTATCTATGTAGCCACAATCCATCTGCACTACAAGGAAGAGCTCTTCTACTAGGACATCCTGCACTGCTTTCTTTCTTCCCACTGGATCCCCAGAGCACAGTCTTTGCAGCAAGTTTTTAAAAAGCAGAATCAGGTCTCTCTCTTTCTCTTTGTAACACTAAAAGAGACAAAAATGGAGACTAAAGCTTAAATAAGACCACACAGTTTTCCCCTGTCCCTAATTATCCAGTTTCCTGACTTACCATATGCCACAGCCATGAGCTAACTCTCAGACTCCACGTGCCTCTTTCTTTAGGGTCACAGGACAATCCTGGTCAGAAGTAACCTCAGGAGATCTCTAGTCAAACCTCCTGTGCCCAAAGCAGGGTCAGCTATGCAATCAGACCAGGTGACTCAGAGCTTCATCCAGACTCACAGAATCGTAGGGGTTGGAAGGGACCTCTAGAGATCAACTAGTCCAACCCCCCTGCTAAAGGAGCTTCACTTAGAGCAGGCTGCACAGGATCACGTCCAGGCAGATTTTGAATAGCTCCAGAGAAGGAGACTGAATACTGAATCTATTCTTGTATATCCAGCCTGACACCAAATCCATTCTTGCTTCTTCCAGCTTTTTCACTACCTCTCTTTAGTCACAGATCATCCTACTGCAGCTTGTCCTACTTTTGCTAACGCTTACAGCAATAAAAAAAAAAAAAAAATTAAATAAAATACTTGGGAGGAGTTTCCTCCAAATGCTTTGTAACACCAGTGCCAACATTATTATAAACACTGCTGTAAGGGGCACATGTTTTGCTTTCCCTTCTGTCCCTGCCAAACTAAAGCAAGCTCTGTTCTGAGCACACCATGCTGGAATAAAGAATGACCATCCTGACCCTTTTTTATCATATCCAGCATTTCTCACCAGTGGTTTAACAGATGTATCAGGAGATCTCTATCAGCACTAGTCACAGGATGAATTCCCCATTCAGTCTTAAGTATTAACGGAACTACATACATCATTAACCAAAATGTAATATTTAAAAAGCAAAAGAATTGCAAGTTGCTGACCGTGGTACTCGCCGTTTTCCTTCCTTGTTCAGAGAAGGCGCTTTATGCTTGATTATGCGCTTCAGGTGATTAATAGCATCACAACATTGTTGAGTGGTACCTGTTAAAAAGAGAGAATCGACATGTATAAATAAATGCTGGTAACCTGGTTAAATGAATCAAGGTATTATCACTATAGAAATAGTGCAAAAGACTTACACACAGATAACATCTATCACCTCCACTACTCAGTGTTTCTACAGTAAATTTTTCAGTGCCACAGAACAAGATCATAAAATAGCAGACAGGTCAACGTGGCCTGAGCCAACCATGAGGCCTCTGCTATAAAACTGTGTATTTTAGTTTTGCATGCTCATGCTTAGAGAAACTGTAAACTTTCCCCACATGAATATTTCTTCTAGGGCCACTTCTATCATATCCTGAACTGTTTCTCTGAAAGAAGTAAGTCTTTGTAACTTCGGGTTTTGGTTTTATGTTCTAATTACTTTTAACTGATGAAAGTCAGAGCCAAAAAAAAAAAAAAAAAAGAGGCAAGTTTACTGAAGAATCATTAGTATTGTGGAAGAAATCACAGATTCTTCACACAGCTTCATACTGTCGTAGGGAAGAGTAACAAGGCATACAGGAAAGGGTAGTACAAAATTGTGGAAATCTTCCACAAAATAAAGAGAAATGCCATTTTTTCAAACATTTTGTTTGTTATAAAAGAGTAGACTTCAAGATTCTCATCAAGCTACATTTTTACAATGTGTAACTGCAAAGCCAAGACTCAGATCAAAAGCACCATTATCATTTTTAGTGTTACTATAAAACTGTAAATCATCATAAACATGAAAAGGTTCTTTCTCTTGAGCACAAAATCTTCCACCTTTACAACTTGCAAGGAGTCGATTCAAAGAGTTCCTAACTAGATATCAAATGACCTCTCTATCAGTACCGAAAAATAATCCTTCCTTTGTTGCAAAATAAGCACATTTACTTTTCCTCCAGTTATAGATTTATGGTTTGGTTTAGTTTTTCTTTTTTAATTCCAAGATCCAACAGGATGGCTTTTTTCTTCATTCCATAATGAATTAATTATAGCTTACCTAATGATTTCTCATCTGTATGTGTTAAGGCTAGACTTTCCAGAAATACAACCAACGCTTCAAATACAAACTGCTCCACCAAAGAATTTTCTTCCCTTTAAAAATCAGGAATAAATATGATGAGAAACATGAGTAGAAGAAGCACCAAGTAGGAAATTCTAATTAAAAAAAAATTAAGATACCGTAGAGATAAACTGCGCACGATGTTTGTATGAAAAAAATACATCTAAACCACTCAAAAAGAATAGCAATAAAGATTTGCTGAGCACATTTAAATGGCATAAGTAACTTCTCATAAACTTGTCAGCGAAATTTAAACTTTTACAGTCTCGACTTAGAGAAAGCCCGAACTACAAAGTTATAATTATAATTAAAAATTAATAATCTGGGTAACTTCATTTTACAGCTATTGCATTCATTAATAGACCGAGTACCAGTGGATGACTATTTGAGTTCTACGCTCAATTCTTTTCATGTCCTTGAACCTTTAGTCCAAATTAGTTACTGTTCTGAGCTCTGTTTGCTCACCTAAATTCTCTGTAGATGTTGTTAAAAGCAAGTGCTGCACCCAGTCTCTTGAAAGCACTGGGATGAAGAGCAAGACTATACAAGCGCTTGAAAAGAGACTTGGTGTTTGCTGGGCTTTTCTCCTGCTGTCTTGGCGTTGTCTGCTTAATAGACCATTTCAAAAATTCGTGTACGCATTGACCACAGAAATCTCTTAAAGTGCTGTCAACTGGATCCACTATGCCACTCTGAAATTACACAACATTATTTAATTACAAGAATGAAAAAAACACAATGTATTGTCTCAGTGTAGTTATTAGAGCAGCTTATTTACACAGTATTATCTGTAAGTTGAAAAAACTTACTCACACTTTCCCAGAAGTAATAAAACCTCAAAATTATTACTGTCCAAGGGAAGGGGCACATTCCCAGCCCTCACAGCACTGGATTAGGCCTCAAAGATCCGTATTTCTATTCCCCCCTCAGCTACCAAACAGTTTAGAAGCCTTGTGTAAGTCACTTCGTTTTCTGATGAGCTAGCTCCTCTGCTTTAGACGTGGTATGGCAACATCGACTTTAATTTACAAGAAGTACTCCAAAACCTCCTGATCTATCTTGCCTCCAGCCTGCTTCAGGTCAGTGCAAAAAACAGTTTTAAATTTAAAGCTTTTGCACCTGACGAAAGCAAATAAGCTTAGAGGAAAATTAAGCACACATGAAAAGCAACTTTCATTCAGAGGTGGGTGAAAAATATTATGTATTTTAGTAATTCCTTGTATCCACTTATGATAAAAATAGTATTTCATTAATCCTATAAGCACCCTAAATACAATACCTGCATTTTGAGAATGTCAAAGAAATAGAGAAATCCATCATCAAAATCTTGGTTAAGAAACATTAAAAGATTACAAAATTGATAACCTGCTTTCCTTCTTTCAGACAAATAAGCCATTACATCTATTTATGTGCTCTTGGTTCTTTCAGTAATAAAATGATGCTAGTTAAAAATAAAGTCATATGGCACAGAAAAAAGAAGAGGAAGACTTAATCACCTACCAAGATAGCTTCTAGGAACACCACCGTATCTTGACTCTCGAATTTTTTGTTGTTCGTAAACCAGTGAATGAGTTGCATGACTAAAGGCTCATACAACTGTCTTGTTACCTGAAAAGAGTAAAAGCCAACTACTTTTCTAGGATTAATATATATCTATGCTATTTTGCTATTCAAAATATGTAAGAACAAAAAAAAAAAAATCTTCTTTGAAAAAGGGTCTATAAAATGAAAAATCAGCTTCATATTACATTCCCTTATCAAGGAATAAAAAAAAAAAAAACAAACAAACAAAACCTGGTTAGCTGCTTTCTATTCTGGTCTGAAAAGATCTCCAAGCTTACTTTCAGTAAGTTCCTCCGAGACAGACAAAAACCATTGCATGCCATGGATTGAATGCCAATATTCAGCCAGCAAAACAGGGAAGTCTGGTTTTAAGCTGTATTTTGATCTAAAATCTCCCTTAATCTTTACCATATACATTTATTCTAACTTGCTGGATTTCAACAATTCTACCTGTAAGTCAACCTGACCAAATAGTGTCATATGATAACATGAAGGAAGAACTATGAGATATACTTGGTAATAATACAGTGTGTATGTCTGTGTGCACTGGTTTGGACCAATCCAGACGTTCACCTACGGTTTATGTTCGGCCACATGCCAGCAAAAAGGGATTCACCTAAATTGGTAATATAGTTACCTGTATATTTTACCAGAACACAAATCCCTTTGGTCTAAAAATAGAATCTGGACACCAGGGTGCAAACAGCAGTCTGAAAAGGCACAAAACCTGTAATTTCAGTGGAGCTGAACCTATGTCTATTCTGCTTCATGTAAAGGAGGAGAAACGCCAAGATCAGATGTTTAAGTTAAATATACCATCCTTAGCTATCAATGAGGTAGCTACAAATTCCTTCCCAAATGCTTTTCTTGTGGATTGTAGCTTTGTGCTCATTCAATACTGAAATAATCAATTTTACCTCATGTTAACTTCCTACGGGAAAAGAAAAATATGGAAATTAAATACAGCACTAAAGAACAACTACTACCACAAACTCTTTGAATGGATCTTGAAACTTGAATCTTGAAACCCTCATGTCATTTGTACACTCCGAGTTACTCTGAATTATGGTCCATTATTGAAGTCTTTGAAAGGTCTTACATCCCCCCTCACACCCAAAATCCTGGAAAACTATCCCTAAAATAGAATTTCATCTCACAAAAAGGCAATGCATCACGATAACTTCTAACATGATAACAGCTACATAAAATTATAAATTCATTCCCAAATTTAGAAGTACATTAAACAAGCTAAAAGGCTTATAAACGAATCCGTTTACCTGGTCTACGTCACAAGCAAGACGAAGCAGTACTGGAAATATTCGCTTATGTAACTGATACATGGGTGGGGGACCTTGACGTCCTTCTGGCATCTGAGATGCTTTCCCCAACATATAGGTGACTATGCTGTGTAGCAGCTCACAAGCTGCAACCTGAAATTTAAAACTCTCTTTGGTCATGCATCCATTACTTTCATAGAGAAGACAAAATTGTGGACAGGAGAGAATGAGTCAAAAGAATGGAATAATTTCTCAAGTACATTTCTCCAATCTATGCTAAATCACTGTTCCGAGTCCATGGATCATGTCCATGGAAAGAATTTACACACATTCCAACCGGCCTTTGTCCTTACGTTCTAGTCTCTCACTTTTCAGCTGGAGAAAATTCATCACTGCGTAAGTCACCCATTATCGTGTGTTCAAGGATACCTCTGTTCCGGGCTGTTTCTGGATACCAATCCAGCAAAGCAGCAAAGCAGCAAAATATTTGCTTAAGCGCTCTGCTGGACTGGGCCCACAAGCTCATAGGCTAGGCATGAGAGGGAGGCCAAACAACAATGTAGATCAAGTAGCTTAAATTTTTCATTTTTATGTTATGTCTAATTCTCAAAGCACAACGGTGTCTGACAGAGCTTGTAGAAACTTCTGCTCTTTAGTTTTTTTTAATGACAAAATAATAACATCATGAAAGAGCACCAAAGTAATTAATTAAAACACGCCTTTCTTAACAAGGAAGACATTATTTTATGCAGTATTTATCAGCTAGCATAAAAAAAATTTAAATACTTTTGTTTGTCTGTCACTTGCAGAAAGAGCCAGTTCAGTCACACGAGGCAAGAATAAATCCAAGTAGATGACAGGCTTCATATCTGCAAATGGTACAGCAAAGCTCAGACGCTTCTCAGTGTCCCAGGATACACATTTCTTCATCATGTCTTCTGCAGAGGTAGCTAATGCATTTGAAAAAGATCAGAACAAAAAAATAAGCTTTCTATAATATACATAGAGCAAGCATTTCCATAGCTTACTCAAAAATCTGTGACCTTTCAAGTTCATTTAGATTATCATAAAATTTCAATACTTCATACATTACTGGATGTTACACGTACCAGAAGTACGTTAGAAGGCTGGTTTAGCCACCACATGGAAAAAATAATTGCAGCCAGCATTCCAGGAGACAGTCACAGCAGCCTCCAATTTCAATATAGGTAAGTTTGGAGACAATTATAAACCCAGAAGACACTGAATCACACTTGATTTAAAATACTTCTTTAAGATGTCCAATAAGACAACTTTTGTCTTCTACTACTACGAACAACTTTTGAAGATCAGACCAGACAAGAAGATCCAACACAGACTCCTGCAGTTGCACAGAAAACAACTACATTTATGGATATATCCTCCAAGGAAAACTGCCATATTTACTCCCTTCTCTCCCTACATTCCTGTATTTGTTAATTTGGTGAAAAAAGTCTGACCATGCTTTGTGTTTAACTTCCAGGGAAAAATGCTACCTTCCCACAGTACTTCTGAATAAGCAACAGAGAAGTACTTGGCAGAAAGAAAATTGATTGTGAAGGCAGAATAAAACAAATCTAAGCACTAAAACAAAGGAACAAAACTTCTATACAACTAGATTAGTTTTTAGACTAAATTTTGGACTGATTTTATCCCTTAAAACTCATGGCCAGGTATTTACACTATACTTTTCCATATTTGTTTTAATTAGATTTCATGATATTTAATAATTAAATTATAAAGCTGAACAGAGAAGAGCAGAAACTTTTTTTTTTTTTTGAGGATGCACTCAAATGGAGCATTACTACCTGGCCATACTAAAGGCATGGAGCACTTCAAACTCACAAATGAAGAAGTAAGCTCGCTGAGACTTAGAAGTTCTGCAAGACTGGATTAAGTGAGAATTGTGGTAAAAAGGTGGAAGCAAGTTCTGAAGATTTACAAACTGGGGCAAAGTTTTAAAATGGCTTTGCAGCCAGAGGGAAAAGGGGGGCAATAAATAAGACCATATGCACAGGTGCATGTAATTTTTTGCCTTTAATGGAAGTTTTCTACACAATTCCTGCATTCCATAGTAGGTTAGTGAATACTTTGCTCTGCTAAACTCCAGAACTGAATAAAAGCAACTTTGCTTTAAACAAGAGCAAGAAAAAAACAGCTTTCCTTGAAAAGCTCATGCATTCTCATAAAGTGATGTCAAGACCTCATTGAAATCAACTTTCAAGAGAGACAGCAGAGGCATGTAAATATTTTTATTTACTGACAGGACACTCACCTGTAATTAAGTTGTGGTTGATCTGCCCTCCCAAAGATCCAAGAAGGCGTGCCACTCTAGTCCTTACTGCTTCCAAGGAGGGACTGTCATCCTAAATAATTCAACAGATTTATATTAGTGAAGGAAGAGTTACTTCTATATAGAGGTAACTTCTACACAGAAGTAACTTGGTTTATGTAGTAAATGAAAGTTTTATGATTCTTATTAATAAACGGATGAAGAAAATAAAATGAAGAACCTGTGGGGAAGAACTGCATCAAACGAGAACAGTTTTGCTTCAATGAGCAAAAGAGGGGAAGACTGGAAAGCATTTTCACCATATTTTAAGGGTTTTCAATTGCCATTTCTCAAGTAAAGGTTAAAATTTTTCATCACAGATAACACGTACCTACAGAATAACACAATAGTCTGAAAAGTGGAAAGAAATACGAAGTAAAAATTACTCTTCATTTGCTTTAATCCAAGAACTTAAAGTCTAGATCCTGTATCTATATGTAAGCAGCCAAATGATTTTCATAAGCAGCCTGTATGGAATGTAAAATGTACTCATTTTATTTGATGACCACTAGGTTGGAAAGAGATCTTTTTATATGTATATGCACGTAACTACTAGTTTCACACCTAAAAAGTAGTTTATTGCGAGTTAGTTTGCGCACTGGAATATACAAATAAAACTACACTTGTTTTGAGATACTTGAGAAGCCACTGGTCAAAATAAACAGTATGTTTGACTTCTAAGCCTATGAACCTATACACAAGATAATAAAAAACCCCATAATTACACATTCACAAAATGGTATTTGTACACTGCACCACTGCTAAGCGGGGACTTGACTTAAGATGTAGGAGTTAAATTTTTGTTTCCATAATATGTCAGTCTAGCAATGATGTTAACTTACGGGACTTCTTCAGTTCTTTTTCCCGGCTTCATTCCAATTCTCACCCTAGAATATGACACCTTTCCAGCTGTGCTGATGTAATGGCTTTTCGAGCCATGCTGTAGAATGAGATTCACTGAACTGATCTTGAGTAGAAATAACCCTCAGAAAAAAAGTACATATACAAGAAAGGAAGAGAAATAGTGGGAAGTGATTAAACCTCATTTAACTCTAAAAAGAAACAGTGTTCTTACCAATGAAAAAGTCTTTGCTTTTCTTAAACGCTGTATCACAACTTTATTAAACCCCTTCTGGGCTGCTCGAGAAAGTTTCTTTACTTCCCAGTTATTCTGGGATTCAGCTGATGAACAGAAAACATGAATATTAATATTAGTTTATTGTACCTGCACCTCATGCACCTACTTATAATTTCCTTAAAAAACCCACCCTGGTTTTGTGACAATTATTATTTCATTTAAAATCTTTATTAAGCAATACAAGTCCTTATTAGTGAAAACTGAGCTGATTTAAGGATACGAAGGACAAATCACAGAGCAGTGGCATATAAAATGGCTACGATTAGTCATTGTTCAGCAGCACCAAACAAATCCTAGTTTAAGAAAAAGGTAAATTTTGGAGTGTGAGAGAAGTTACATTGTTCCAAACACAGGAAAACCCACAATATAGACAAAAAGTACGTCACATCTGTATCTCTAGGCATAACTACATAAAAATTATTTTCCTCTCCCTCAAGACTAGATTTTTTTTGCCTGTACATACCTGTAGATGTAGAATTTTTCAAATAACCATCAAGAAGAGGCAGAACATCCTTGTAGTGAGGTTGTATTATATGTCTGGGGATGTGAGCTGACCAGTCTTCCAAAGCATCCAGTCCCAGATCAGCCATTGGGGTACAGCTAAGACCCAGCTTAAATGCATTCTACGTGTCAAATACAAAATTATCAGTCTTTCATTTTTATTGACTACCATTATTTAAAGGTAAACCCCCCCCGGGTATTTGAAAGCTTTTAGCATACTGTACATATTCCTTTTTAGTAACTTTTGTGTGCTTAACATCTCACTCAAGATCAGCACAGGATATATATTGTATTGCAACACAAGCACTAACAGAGTCAGCTTAGTGCAAAAGCAAACTCTGACAATTTACTTGTTTATCCAAGAATACAAATGACTTGACTTTTATCTCACTGAAGACTTGCTCCAGAGGATACTAACTTTGCTCCAGAATTTTCATACGTGTTTCAGGAAAAAAAAAGTGTTAGCTGTACATCACTTTGACCCACCTGCAGTGCAGGAATATAAGCTTTGATATCAAGCATGACGATGTCATGTGGTAAAGAGAGCAAAAAATTCAGACAGGATGCCAACAATTCATCCTTATATTGTTTCATTTTTGCTGCAACCTAAAATTCAGATAAATAGGCCAAGAACAATCATAAATGTTTTAAGAACTTGATTTAGCTATATCAATATCCATGTAAAATAAACAACTCAAAACCAATACTAGAATCTCATTCACCTGTAGACAGTCACCACAATGTATTTAACGGACAATTATACAGCTATTTCTCAGTTGTACATGAATAGGTGACCAATACACCTCTTCTGACATTAAGTAAAAAACAGACAGAAAAAGATCTTAAACCCCCACTACGTTGCATAATTCAGAGCTGGATTATTTCTATCATATATGTAAGATTTCTCAGCAGATATAATTTTGCTTGAGTCATGTATGTTTATATTCAAACTAAGAAAGATAGCCAGCAAAATCACTTACCTCTTTTCCAAACTTTACAAACAGGGCAAAGCAAGACCTCTTTTCTGGGTCTTCAGGACACTTTTTGAGACTCCTTGGACTGACACCCTAACAAACAGAAAACACAAGTCAACAGTACTAAAAAAATGTAATACACAGTACCAATATGAAGCATAAGTTCAACTCAAAATATATACATCACTGTCCAATATGAAACTGGTACTGGTGAAAACTTGAAATGTAGGGTTGTTCTCTCAAAGCTTAGAAACTAACATTAATACTGTGCATTGAGGGTCAACTTTTTGCAATACACTCAGTATAACCCAAATAAACAAGATACATAGGACAGAAAAACAACTTTTCAATGGCTTAATTTTCTCCTTGTCCTCTGTCATGGTTTAACCCCAGCCAGCAACTAAGACCACACAGCCTCTTGCTCACCCTCCCCAGTTGGGATGGGGGGAGAGATTCAGAGGAGTAGAAGTGAGAAAAAAAAACTATGGGTTGAGATAAAGACAGTTTAATAGGTAGAGCAAGAGTCACGCACGCATGCAAAGCAAGACAATTCATTCACTGCTTCCCACGGGCAGGCAGGTGTTCAGCCATCCCCAGGAAAGCAGGGCTACATCACGCATAACTGTTACTTGGGAAGCCAAGCGCAGTAACTACGAATGTGCCCCCTTCCTTCTTATTTCCCCCAGCTTTAAATACTGAGCATGATATCACATAGTATGGAATAGCCCTTTGGTCAGTTGGGGTCAGCTGTCCTGGATGTGTCCCCTCCCAGCTTCTTGTGCCGTCCCAGCTTGCTCACCAGCAGGGCGGTGCGAGAAGCAGAAAAGGCCTTGATTGCTTAACATCAAAAATGAAATAACAGTGTTTTACCAACACTATTTTAATCCCAAATCCAAAACATAGCACTATATCAGCTGCTAGCAAGAAAGTCAACTTCATCCCAGCTGAAACCACGACATCTCCCATCTAACAAACCATGAAACAAAGAAAAAACCCCTAACAGTGGATGTCCATGTGGCAAGAATGCTGGCGGAATAAGAAAAATGCAGTTTGCAACAGCACCCACAGTACAACCATCTACACCAGTAAGTCCCCAAATTTGCAGTGGCAGGGACAGTTCTGGGCTCCGTGATGGGCTACACACACGATGGGATGAAGCACCGCCACTTTACAATAGCTTCCCTACCGCAAATGGCTCATACATCAACACAGCATCCTATTTCCTGGGGAAATCGGTGAGTGGAATACAAGTATACCCCAGAAGCTGAGTAATTAACCCATATGTGTCTTTGCTGTTCTGGCTAAATTGTTTCTGATATCCAAGCTATCTTCTGTACCGCCTGCACTGCAAGGGTTCCTATCCCTCTGTTTACTCAGCTCAGGATTTTGGCAAGAGCATTACACACGGATGGTGTCTCTTCAGAAACTTGGCTTCTAGTCTAAATGTTGATTGTCTATGTGCTTTTAACTGTGGGGGTATAGGATGCTACGAACATTTGAAACAACTTGGTAATAGTTTCAATGAACTCTTTACCATAGTGCATAAAAGACTAGAGATAAGAACTGCATCATCGTTAATACAACTTGTTACCCCTCCATTGGGAAAAGAGATCTCACCTCGAAGTATTTTATTTTCTTGGCAATTTTCATTGTAACAGAAAGCAGCTTGTAGAATCCACTAATAAGAGGTAGTCTTGTTGAATGTATAACAAGCTCATAACCAAAGGAATATACCCAAGGGTGAAAGTATTCAACATGCTTCTCCGGAAGTATCTCTCTAAAACAGATGCACAGAAAACATACGGGGGAGGGGAAGAAACTGAATAGAATATTTGATTGTTTGTTTTTTTTTTTCTTCAAACTTTCAAGTGAGTACAAGAAAGAGAAGTATTGCTCTAACAGAGCAGCTCCAAAGACAATGAGGGAATATGGCCAGTATAATACTAGAAGTTACAACATATACTGAAAGACAGTTACATCTAAATAATGAACTACTTGTTTCCCGTACTCTTTAAAAACTGAGCTGATGAGCTAGTATGTTTTTACCTATGACTCAGATGTCTGAAACGCACTTACTGTGTCCCTGCTAATCACCCTGTGCATTTTGAAATACAGTATATCGTCATAAGTCGGAAACAGGCACCTTAAGTAAATCTCACTTTAAACTTCTTCCAACCATTTTGTAACTTCCAAACTACATAAAAATATATTAATACCTGCAGAATTCCACTAGATTTATAAAGGCGATAAAGTCTGTTGGCTTTGTTGGCTGAAGGTTTGAAGCAGGGTCAGAAGTAGGCCCAACCAAAGCACTGTCCGTTTCATTTTCATCCTGAAAATAAATATTGAAGCAAGAAGGTTGGATCTGTGACAACACAGAAAGCATTTAGACCTTCTTTCCAGATAAACAGAGTCTCCTCTTCTTTTTCTAGCTGCTACCAGCTAGTCTGACACAGACAAATGACTAATAATTGACACATCAATAATTCAAAGAAGTAATATGGGATGCTTGGTCATAAGGAAAAAGCTACTAGAAAAATGAAAACTACTAAGTGCCAGAGTTGGCATTACAGATTCTATGAACTTCTTCCGATTCTGATGTTCTCATCTCCTAACGCTGCAATGCAATATCCAGAAATATAAAGTCAAACATTTTGACTAGTATGGATGTTACTTCAAGGACACTATAAGGAGGTATCTAAGCATAATGAAAACAAAACAGGGAATGTGATTTTGGTTCCTCTGTAACAGCAGAAATTAATGGACAAGTCATCAGGTCTCACCTGTTCATTAACATCCAGTTTCTGAACAGTCAGGTCCAACTTCTCAATAATCTTCAAAACAGATTTTATAAGTTCATCATAGAGCAAGCGATTCAGAGACTGCAGTGGTGAATTTGCAGTAAGAAAGTTTTCATCTTCAAAAACACATTCCTTTGTAGGAAGAAAAAGTTCACATTTCAAAACACCAATGAGAATTACTTCTTGAGTTCACAAACCAAGATTTGAATGATTGAGAGAATTCGGCTTTAGACATACCTCAGATATGGAAACCTAAATTCCCTCCTGTTTAATTAATTTATTAGCCACAAAATCCAACTAAATCCAAGAAACAGCTCTTTTACAGCATGACATTACAAAAAAGTCTAGGGTTAGAAAAGCAGTGATAAGACTGAGGATTACTTTTTCTTTTGTATTTCCACATTAACTATGCTTTTACCTTCATTGTGTCACAGTTCAGTAGACTTCTGAAGAGATTCAGATAGTCCTTATATGTTGGTACTTTCCATCTCCCTGTCCCAACTCCTGCAGCTTCACGTAAGTCTTCCGATCCAGAAGTTTCTTTTCTAAAAAAATCCTGAAAGAACACAGTATTTTTCAAAAACACTGCATATATACCTACCTGACTCAAGCCAAAACACAATATGAAACTATTTCTGCAGGCAGAAACAGGAAAGGTTTAGCTTTCTCATTTAACCAATTGGAAAAGAGCACAGAACAACTAGGTCCTTTCAAAAATCTCTGAAGCTTTCCTCCTTCCAGTGGTCAGTTATTTGAGAAACTCCATAGTTATCCTGCTGCACAGGATTAAAAAGCTTTAAAGTTCTCCCTTAACACAAATATTCAGTAAAACTTTTGAAGTGTATAAAATTGGTTAACCTGGAAGAAAGCTAAATGACCTCAAGTACAACCTACTTTGTCACAGACAACCTGAGCAAACAAGAACTGCAGAGAACAAAAGTCTATTTCCCATTATTTTTTTTCTTTTGGCACAAGAGGCACGTCCTCATTATGCTGAGCAGATGTAGGGACCAGACACCAACAACAACTGAGCCACTATTCAAAATGGATGGTACTTTTTTTGCTTCTTTGGGCCTTGCTCTGTCTACTGGACTAGATCTTAAAGAACTGAAATGTATACTCTAGGAATCCAGATGAAATAAATACGCTTAAACAGGGTTTTTTTACCTTCGAAAACATGATTGGCTTGGAGAAGATTCTGATTAATCCCTGATGCACTGAAACAAAAAAAATAATTGCCTGAACAGACTTAAAAAGGCACAGCATCCATATCACTCAATATGTTAGCAATTAATTAAATCTGCCTTCTATTTTCTGTATTCTGTCATGATTAGGGAGAGGCAAAAGAACACTTGTTCTTTAAGGACAAATATAGCCAAAACCAGAGCCATAACTCTAGGATGTTTCACAGGGAACCAATTTTGAACTTGCTTCTTACTACATTTTCCTCAATACTGCTTTGACTTTTTTCTGAGTCTAAAGGAAGTGATGACCAAGGCATTGCCCATAATGCCCACACTGAAAAAGCCAACAACTCCCAATGACTCTCAGACACGAACTTAGGATCTCCATTCCAACATGGTGCTTGAGTGCCATCCCAAACCAAGAACATGAAAAATAACGAAAACACCACAGCAATAGAGAAAAGCCACCGTAAATAATAGAAAGAAGTTAAAAATAATTGTATTTTTTATAATGAAATGTCAGCATACTGGAAGCTACTAGAATTGTCAGCTACCAACACTGACACATTCACTTTTACATTTGCAGGACTGTCTCTGACTAACTGCATATTTGGAATTTTCATTTTTATTATGTACAAGTTTCAGAGCATAAAAAGATTGCCTTTCTAATACAGATGACACTCACCCTACTTTCTGTGATCTTTTGTAGGGGTGACTGAACAGATTTCTATACAGCTTTCTGTGAAATCCCCTTCTCCCCACAATCCTTCAGAGCAGGAACATGAGGTTTATGTTTAAGCAGATTACCACAAAAATATATTCTCCTGCCCTTGATGATAGCCACTCTGCTATCCAAAACAGTTGGATAGCCTAAATCTCGATTATTCGAGGATGGGAAACCCCTCATTTTTGATCCCAAATGGCTATTCCACACATCTCTCTTAGAACCAGTTAATAAATCTAAGAAAAAAAAAAATCCAAACCAAAAACACACAACCCCCCAAAAACCACAACAAAGTTAGTATCACAGACTCACCCACAGTGCTAATAAAACTCCAGAGAACTGGACCTTTTCCTGAGAGGGCTAAAAATATCTTTACTATAGATCTGCAACAGACTAACTGCATTTTTTCACTGTATTGTGGAAAGCTATTGATCTGCAGCACAACTAGATGTTCAAGAACGGGAGTGTACACTTCAGGAATCTAGAAAATATACAAACAAAACACCCATCATGCAAGGACAATGATTATAACTCAGTATCAATGTGAAGAATTATGCTAAATTACTTCAGCAAGATATTTTGTTATAAGAGTTTACATCATGACCTGCTCTGAGAAAAATAAAAGACTTAGCAAGTGAATTCATCTTAGATATAAACAAACCCAAAAAACCCAAACAAAACGAACAGAATAAGAAAGTTTCCTGGAACACATTATGGAAAGTAGCTCCTGAACGTGCTTCAGTGGAACCAGTCTTAAGCTTATTAGAAAAGTACCAATTCAATTAAATAATAACACAGCAGTATAATCTGTTCATTCTTAACAATCTGAATACAGAATGTAAGTGAAAGTCTATTCTCTGCCCCAACCTTACTTCCCAGCTCCAGTTAGGCCCCAAAAAGCCCTCGTTAGAACACAGACAGCATAGCATCAGAGGAAAACCAAAGTATCAGCCTCAGAGAACATACTAAGTATCAGTACCAAAAGAAAAAGCAGTAATAGAGTGATATAAATCACATAAAGAGAAGGGTAAGGCTAAGTCCAAATAAATAGCTTTGCCTAAAATAAATAAGAATCTATTTGCATTTGGCTATCATGGGTTTCATTACAATGCACTGTAGTATTTTACGTAGTATATTCCGTGCATTTTCTTTATTCAAATAAAATCCAATAAAGCATTCTCCCGATATTCTTCCCATCCCCGAGGAGCTAAATTTCATCATATTTCAGATAAAGAAACACCTTCTATCACAGGTAAGTTCACACCTACTACCTCCTTATACATCCGTAGCTGCATAAAAAAAAAATTGACGGGTACTTAAATACTCCACTTACTGTATCTATATGGAATATCACACTTGCGATGGACTGGAGGAAACTTGGTAGCTGGTACAGATGGTCATCTATTGTTTCTGCTTCTGTGAGGTACATTTGCTTACAACGCTGAAGGAGCTCAACATACATATCATCAACATCCTTAGAATGTATAGCTTTACAGGGCTTACAAAGAGAAAATAAAAGACTGATTTAGCAACTTTGTACAGTCAAGCAAATGTATTCTGTAGCACTAAAACCCCACCCAAGTCTTCACTGAATCATAATAAGAATAATCTGAAGTTTTTCCAGGACCTCAATACATCTGAATAAACTAAGTATTCTACCTGGTACATGTATGAGAAAAGTGGTACCTGCAATGAACTAAAATAATAGTTAACTGATGCAGCGTAATTTTACTGTAAGAGTACTTGACCTTTCAGTGACTAGACATCAAATCTAGCTTGAAAAGCATGGAGTCTTGCTGTAAATATCTTAAATATGGCATTATGGATGCTATTACTCATACTTTGACCTAGCTGCATTAAAGTACCACGTGGCTTACCTTAATGTGGCTTAACCAATTACCATTCACAGGCTACTACTGTTTAACATTTAACCCAGCAGCCCAAATTCTGAACTTTTATTGTGCTGGGATCTGCACAGAGGATAAGGACTACTCTTAAACTAATGAACAACCAGAAAGCATTCCAAACAGTACTAGAGGGTATTTAATAATGCATATGGATTTCTATAGAATGACTTGTAAATCACAGTATTTAGCATGAACTAGATCAAAAAGCAGTCTTTGTGGAAAAGGAACTAGGAACCAGGTCACAGGCAAGAACTCCAATAGGGAACTGACCATGGAAAACGAATGGACTGAGTTAGGCAATCACAGAATACAAGAGTTAGGCTAAAGGTTGAATCTGGTCTGCCTAAAAACATGCTGACAAAATTAAGACTATCCATTTATCATCTGTAGCACTACAAATATTACTTTATAATTATGTTAGCGATTAGACAGTAAAAAGAAATATTCTGCCTTGAAACTAAATCAATCACTGAACTTGTGTTCTGGCTAAGGTCACTATTTGCAGTAGCACCAAGACTCTGCTTCCTCGCAACCGACCATCTGATGCTTGACGTTCTTAATGGTGCTTCCTGAAAACATACCTGCCCTCCACCTCCACATACATATATAAGCATGGTTTCATGTTGTTTGGGTTTTGTTTTGTTGTGTTTTTTTTTCTTAATTTGCACTTGTTTCACAAATTACAACCTAGTGTCCTTCAGTCAGTCGTACATTTTGGCTGTTCTGATTCCCGCTCTGCAGGAAACCTATCCAAACTGCTTCCAGAGCAAAGATGGCCTGGATTCTACCATCTAAATGCAGACAGCACTAACAAAGTATTGCTGTACCTAAGCAATTATATCCTTAAGTTTTGCGGCAGCTGTACATGAAGCCCCTTTTTTTCCATTTCAGAACTGGTGCACAAGCAGAAGTAACTCAACCCTGCAAGTGTTCCTAGTAAAATCAGTATGTGTTTCAATAATTTTCAACCACAATATACTTTACAGTGTATCTAATTAAGTTCAACACTTAATCCAGAAACAAGCTGTGTAAAACTGTTAAATGAATGGCGTATGAATCCTAGCTTTAAACCCATTCAGTATGCTGCTTTATCAGAATAAGTTTCCTGCACATACTGCTGCAAAAAGCCCATATCCACGAATGGCAATGGACAACTCTTTGCTGCTTGAATCCATTCTTCTGATGATTCCATAGAACTGCTCCATGAAGAACTGCAACTTGCTCTTGTGTAGCTCTGCATCCTTAGCTACCATCAAAGAAATCTGTAAAGAAGATACAAAAATTTCAGCATTTCAAGAAACATGAAAAAAGCCACAAAAAGTTACAGTAGGTCTTAAAAGATACCTAGCTTGTAATATCAAGCATTTCAAACAAAATAATTATTTATCAAACAGATTCACTGAAATTCCAAGCACCCAATATTCCCACTATTTCAAGAAATTTGGCTTTGCTTTAGTCTCAGAGATCCCAGTGAAGTTACAATACCTGCTTAAGGAATGAATCTAGTGCAGAATGACCCATTTTCTTCAGCTCCTGGTTTGTGTGGCCACACCATTTACACATTGCTTCAAAGAGGGAGACATAGTTGTCCAGGAGTAAGGTACCAAACTGAGCAGCGTGCCAGCTGAACAACTGTAAACCAGCTGCAATTTAAAAACAATTCTCATTAAAACCCAGACTTATATTACATTTTCCAAAACCAGACTAGACTATAAAAGCACACGTTAGGACTTTAGGTAAGTATATGTACCAAGACTGGAGGGTATAAAATGTTTTCTTCCAGCCATTACAGTATCGATATCGAAATATTAAGAACTTGCGCATAAAAACAACCCTCCAAAATTCTATTTTTTGACGTATGCCATCATGGAAAACCCAGCTGTGTTCTGAAGTAATTTACATTAACAGTGAAAAAGAAAGGGATTCTACTGGTTACTAATAAAAATACTCAATCGCACAGTTCACAAAGATTTGATTTCTGTGGACATATGCCCAAGTACCTTCCTCCACCAAACTGTGATGCAGACAAATAAAAAGTTAAGAACATAGGTAATTTCACAATCCCACATATAAGCATAAATGAAATGTCAAGATCCCTAATCATTTTCTTTTTGCAGACTATCTTTAAAGAGGGTTTTACCCTTCACAGTTGCCATGAGCCTACTACCCAAACCTAGCATTTTTGCAATTTCTGCAAAAGCCACTCACATTTCAGAGGCCAACTTCTCATTCTTTTCACGAACTTATTTGTTCAAAATTTCCTCCTCCTCCTTCCAGTGAAATTCCCCCTCTCTATTTTTTTCCTTTAACCCAATCCACCGTCTTCTCTTTTCTCCTAATTTGCTACATTCCTCTTATTTTTACTCCTACCATGATTCCCTTCTCATACCAGGGTTTTGTACTACTCCAGAGGGACAAATGGCATCAAGTGTAACACTGCTGTTCAGAAGCTGATTAGACCTTGCCTAGTTTAACCAAATACATGCTTAATTCTTTAGATTCCAACTTAAAGTACACCAGCTTTGCCCAATCAGCTCAGAAGACTGAAGACAGCCAGTAGAGAATAAACAACTCCAAACAGAAAACACCATTGTATGAACGGTATCCACCACAGCACCAATTGAAACAATTTACAGTCTTACCTAGATGTACTGCGTATCGCTTCTGATCAACCTGTAATACCAGAAAAGGTTTGTCATATGTGATTTATTCTTCATCAGGGCTAATTCATTCATGCGGAACAATTACCACATGGCAGATTTACCTGTGGGTTGATTGCCTTCATTGCAAAATCAAAAATCTCCTTTGCAGTCTGAGGATCTGTGAAACAATCCAATAATGAGTGTTTCACTATTGACACACAAGAGGTAGTGTGAGGACAAAGATATTTTTATCCAAAGCTTGGTACGAAGAAGCAATATTGGAACACCTTACATGTCTCATTTTACGAGGCAGAGACGCTTTTTCCTGAAATACTCTTAAATTTGAAAAAAAACTGTACATCTATATTCACTGACTTTTCTGAACACCCATATTTTAACCAACATGTCTCTTCTACGGGAAACACATCTCTGTATAAAACATGTTCCAGCTTCAATGTGGCTCTCACAGTTGCCCAATCTCTGATTAGAAAATAGCACTTCAAACACTGACATACAGAAACACACTGATGAAGCCACTCCACACAAAGACAGACTACAAGGACCATGTAGCTGGACGGACCTTAGTTTTGCATAAACCATCTACCAACAGGGAAATTTTGATTCTGAGTTCACAGCAAGAAACGGTGCTGCTTGCTGGCTGTATAATAATCAAGATATATCAAATTGTGTAACTGTCTATCACATAGAAAAAGTACATACCTTCATCCACAGATTTGGTAAAGTTGTACATGAGTGCACCCAGTCCCCTCAGACATCCTACTACAACAGGTAGCTTGGGTCCCCTTGTAGCTGATGTCATCTAAAAAAAGTTGGAATTGAAAAAAATACTATGCTTAAGCTAAGATAAATTCACACCGAGGCTTTGCAGTTCGTAGAAGTGTAGATAAAATCACATATTCCAACTTAATACAGTTATGTCAGCACCCACGTCTGTGAACACAAGTCCACAGAAACATCTCCTACTTGGAAGTTTCATATCATTTGGCAGGGAATTTAACCACAGAAGCATAAGAAATCCTTTGAAAAGCATGTAATACAATGCAACAAAACCAACCATAGCAAAACTTAAGTTGCACACACTAATGTCTTAAAAGTGCAGGGTACAGGAAAGCAAAGTTCAGCTGAACTGTTACCTCAAGTGCAAGGACTTTGCAGCTAGTAGAGACCAAATCAGAAACTACCAGTGTGTGGTAATATAACTTTTTTGGGGCACTACTGCAATGATCACAGCATGCCATCTTTTCTCACAGTAAATTGGTTAATTTGTTGTCACTATTGGTCTTGAATTGTTACTTTGAAAGCTTCTCAGAACCAGAGAACACAAACTTAAGGAAGCATTTATGATTGTCCAGTTAGATCCCTACAAATTGTACTAGTTACAACAGTATTCCAATATACAGTGCTACACACATCAAAGGAAAAAAACACCAACAAACCAGTCCAAGAGTCAGAAAAGAAATTCCAATCATACCTGTGTTTTAAGCTCTCCCAAATAAGCTCGGAATAGTTTTTCAGAGTTGTTAATCATGTCACTAGGCTGGACCTCTCCCAAAACTCCCAAAAGCTCATAAATCTTCTCCAGTACTAGAAAGTAATTTAATATTATTAAATATTAATTACCAAAATCACTATTTTGACATTTCCATTGCAATGCCTATGTAACTTGCAACCATGAGAACCCATCTGTCTGGTTTGGCCTCAGTCAGCCACCAAGAACCACGCAGCCGCTCGCTCCACTCCCACAGCCGTGGGAAAAAAATGGACAGGGCAAAACTCGTGGGTTAAAATAGCGCAATTTAACAGAACGGCGAAAGGGAAGATGAAAACAAAACAGTAACATCGATAAAGGGATATGAAGACGCGATTGTGCACTGACAGGACCCGCTCCATCACAGCCCACCCCCGAGTGGCAACTGCTCTCCTCTCCCCGGCTACCGCCTCTTATAGCCTGGGCACGGGTCACCTGGGATGGAATACCCACCCCCTGCCGGCTCCTTGGGGAAATTAACCCCATCCCTGGACACCATCCCATGTGGTTTAATTTTAATTGGTGATTAGCATGCGGGAAAGACAGCTCTTTATGATGTACATACATACAAACGCATATCTATCTACCTGCCACGATGTGAGACGCATCTTCCTCCAGTATTAGTAAGTTAAACACATTTACTCTTTTACAACGTGGCTTAGCAAACTGATTAATAAAGGCCATAGTCACTGAGGAAGCATTTACACCAAACCAAGTTTGCTGCTGGCCTTGAGGTCATGCTGGGTCTTTTAATTACCAGCAGGGTTAAGGCCAACAGCTAGCACAAGTTTCTCGGCTTGAGTTCAGACTCAAGGGTTCTAACGCAAGCACAGCAAGTTCTGTGAGGGCTAGACCTGCCCAGAGAAGATTTCTGCTATAACTAGCCCAAGACAATCAAACCAGAGCTCACATTAATGTGCTTAACATCATAAAAAGAATTAATCAGGCGAGGCAAGAACTGATGAGCTCACGTTAGGCATGACCAATGCAGGAACTATCACGCGAAAACTGCAGCTCTGAGGACAAAACTGGCCAGGGTTGGAAGAAGGTTACAAAAAGCTTTAGCAAATGAGCTGGGGTTTACATGAATTCTGGCAGGGATGGGCAGCCTCTGCTTTTGATAAGACCACCCACTGGAACTACCAGGACTGCTCTTAAGGCCCAAAGTTACAGGGGTATGCGTGTGTATAGTTATAAAACAGGTATAAGAGTAACTTCAAAGGTTCAGCTACACCAGGTTAGCAAGGGACCTGGCAAAAAAAAATAATAATCTAAGAGTCTAGCAAAGTTACGTTGGTTAATGACAAGAAAGCTGGAATTACTTTCAGGATTTAGGCATTCAGGGACTAATAATAACAGATTAAACATACAAATCCTCTTTTATGTTGGGAATCCTAATCCAGAACTATACTTAAATTCTGTATGAACTGCCACCGTTCAGTTCAAGTATATGATTTCTCCTACCTTAACTCATACTTATATATAAGTCTACTAAGAAACAGCTAACTGCATGATCGTGATCACAGGACCTGAACAAATTTTGCAAGCTCTAAAACATGACAGCTACCATTTTTAAACACACTTGCCATGGGAATAACAATTACACATTTCCATGGGGTATAATCCAACAAAAATTGAGTGTAAATAAAACAAAAGGACATTGACAGAAAAAAAAAAAACCTATAGCCTACCTGTATCAGGAATTCTACTTTTTGTGGCAAGTTCCCCATAAAATTTATTAAATATCTCTGAAACTTTCATTTCTTCCATCAGACAGGAACGTCGTAAACTTTGGAGCAACTAAGACATTAAAAAGAACGAAAATTTAGGAAACTCGTTAATAGCACTACCACAAACCTATTTGGTCTAAATAAAAACCACAATTCATGTGTGTAACATCAGCTGAAGTATGCTGTTCAATGAAAGAGATTTAAGATGACTGGTCCAGGAAAGAGTATTAGCATGAAATCTACTTTTACCACAAACTACCTTCCTATGTATGTACAAATATAAAATTAGTGATTTAAAATGTGTATTATACATATTATATACAGAACATCTACATGAAAATTATACATAGTATAATTATATATATACACACACATACGTAAAAACCCCACAAGAGCACAGGCTTAGTAAATCTGCAGCAGCCTTTATCATATTGTATTTCTCTCCCTGCTGCTATCAAGCCTATCCAATTCACAGAAGAAATGACTCAGAATAACTCAGAAGGGAGTTTTGTTTCTCATAAACGAAATTAAGCAGGTGCAAAATCATCGCAAAACAAGGGTCTAAAGCATTCTAAGGAGGCATAGTATGAAATTACTGTCTCACGCAGTAATAAAACTGAAAAAAAGCCCTTCTCCTCCACACCTTCCACATACTGTGTCTAATACATTATAATATTATACATTAATACATAGTATTTCTAAGTAAGAATACAAATGAACTGCACAATTTCTCCTTAAAGAACCATAATACACTGGGAGAGAAAAGATCTGCAACTGCCCCCAAAACAATCACGTCTTGCTCCAGCAGACGGAGTGACATGTTCACATGTGAGCAACCTACTGGAAGAATATAAAAGACAATCTGTTGTTAAGACATATCTCTTACTAACACCTAAATATTACACTATCACTACTGGAGACTACAGATTTTCTACATGATATAGCACAACTATAGTAATACAACAGACTTTCTACTTTTTCTAGAAACAAGAGAGATTTAGAAAACGCATTTTACCTTAATCAGAAGTTCCAGAGCTGGGATTCTACATTTTGCTGCTCTCTCTTTTGTATAAACACTAATACAAGTTTGCTAGATAGGAAAGAATATGGAGATTATCATACTTGAAAGTACAGAAGGGAATTAAAAGATAACATTCATCTACCTTTTTAAAGTACCTGTTCCTAACAAGTTTAAGGTTTTTAAAGAAGACTAAAACAATAAAAATATTCAGTCCTGCAAGTGGTTTCACTGACAAAACTGCAGCACTGTCTAACATAATAACAAATCCCAGCTCAAGCAAATAAAGTGCAGTTTCTGGAATAAAAGGCACACATAGCAAATTTTCCACCTCTGTACTATCATTCCTTACAATACGTAGCTACTAATTCAATATTAGAGACTGCAGTGGTACAGTCAAGCATTTCTATGCAAAGCAGTATTATTCAGCAATCTAGACTCAGGGAAACTCATTTTTAGAGGTATTGTCGTTTCCACCATTTTCTGCATATATTGCAAAAGTAACAACTTTGCAGGGAAAAAAAATTAAAAATCAGTATTTAAAATTAACCATCACCTATAGAAACATTTAAAGTATTACACTTAAACTATGAATTTAGTCTGTATAAATTGAAAGTTACAGCTATTATTTTCAATAACTTATTTTCCAAATCAATACCTATTATTTTCTATAAAGAGAAGTTAATAAAATTAGTCTCTAGTTGAAGAAGCAATTCCACACTACTCTGTTGTATTAATTACACTTTATGTCAACCAAGTTATTTCAGGTCTAAGAAGAACATGAGAGATAGGTACAGCAGACTGGGAGAGGTGAAGGATAGTTATGAATCTGTTATGGTATGAAACCCACCAGAATTGTTTCAACCATTTGGCAAAGAAATAGTAATAATAATAATAATAATAAATGAAATAATTTTCCTTTACCCACCTTAATATTACAGGCATAAGGATGAACTTTGTCACCAACTTTTTCCATAAAGACACAAAGAAACTTCAATGCTTCTTCCCTGCAATCTCGAAACTGACAAGTAAAACAAAACAAAAAAGCAGTATTTAGTTTTAATGTGTATAATCTACCATGCTGTTTATACAGCACTATCTCAACATTTCTTTAAAATTTACCACCTTACCTCCTCTATGCCCAGGGATTTATGGATGAAAACCAGCAAGCCATGCTTTTGGGAAAACACCAGGGACAGGTGCAGCGCTGCGGGGAAGCAGACAAACCATCAGGCGGTTGGTTCCCTTTCTAGAGCAGGCAGGGCTGGACACCCCTGAGCCCGTCACCTTGTGCAGAAAGGTGCCTTAACGCCTTGGACGGGACTGATGCTTGTCACCAGAAAAACTCACAACTTAACGTGGGTGCTTCTAACCTCCCTGTGGACTTGTGCCCAGGCCCTGTGCCTCTGACCTTGTGTAGGGGCCTGCCCCCGCTCAGGGAAAGCTAACCCAGGGGCAGGTCAGCAGAAAGGGGAACGCACCGAAGTATTTTTACCGAGGGGAATGATTATTTGGGACAAGAGGCCATCCCTCTCCCGAAATCAACCTTTTACGTCATGCCAGCAGCCCTCATGCATCAAGAACTGACGGAGGGAGAGCAGAGCTATCCTGCAGGACCAGAGATCTGGTGTGTGTCCCCCTCACATTAACAAGCCCTCCCCAAACGGAGCAGAATCATAGAATGGTTAGAGTGGGGAAGGGACCTTGAAGATCATCTAGTTCCAACCTCCACTAGAGCAGGTTGCTCAAAGCCCCATCCAGCCTGGCCTTGAACACTTCCAGGGATGGGGCATCCACAGCTTGTCTGGGCAACCTGTTCCAGTGTCTCACCACCCTCACAATAAATAATTTCTTCCCAATATCTAATCTAAATCTATTCTCTTTCAGTTTAGAACCGTTACCTCTTGTCCTATCACTGCACTCCCTGATAAAGAGTCCCCAGCTGTCCTGTAGGCCCCCTTTAGGTACTGGAAGGCCACAATAAGATCTCCCCGAAGCCTTCTTTTCTCCAGGCTGAACAACCCCAACTCTCTCAGCCTCTCCTCCCAGGAGAGGTGCTCCAGCCCTCGGATCATCTTTGTGGCCCTCCTCTGGACCCACTCCAACGGGTTTGGAGCAGTCGCTGTTTTAAAGACACCGGCGAGGCAACGGCGGCCCCAAGCCTCGTTCAGAGCTCCTAAGGCCACCCCGTCCCTCCCCTCAGCT